CACACACACACATATATATACATATACATATGTATGATTAAAAACATTTTAAGCAATTACTCTGTTTTAAACCCCGTACTAAATGGTGGGGATACAGATACAAACAAACAAGACAGTCCTTGATCTTGAGGAACTCACTTTCTAAAAGGTGCCAGACAGGAATGATTTGGACAGGAAAGTCCGAGGAAATGATGATTGGAGCCATAGGAGAGATGATTTATATGTCCTTTTCAGGAATAGTAATGTTGATTTGATTGCAATTCTTACAGCTAGATTTGGAAAGTTTAGGGGGGTGGGAGGTAAGGTACAAGGGGTAGAAGGGAGAGCAAGTCTCAGAAGTGGTATGTGGGCCCGAGAACCAGGCAAGGTGAGTTCTCACCAATCAGGGCTCAAGGTCACAGGTGTAGAAAGTCTGAGGTCTGGTTGGAGATGGAGGATGGAGAGCAGGTGTCATGTCATGGGAATGTTTAGAAAGATGTCTGTTATTGATGATGAAACTAGGTTCAGAAAGGTAAAGATTCCATGATCATATAGCTAGTGAATATGTGCTCTTTGAAACCTGGACTTCATGACTCCAAATTCAGTACTCTAACCATTATTCAAGGCTCCTTATCTGGCTAGTTAGTATCAGAAGAAGAAGAGACAAGTAATTTCCTGCTAAAGAGCACATGAGTAGCCCCTTATTTTACTGGCACTAACAGAAGAGATTATGATGTCTTCTTGGGTTATGTAGCTGGCATGGGATGGAAAAGGTCTTGAGAATTTTCCAGCCTAATGATGACTACCTATCTCATAGAGTTATAGATTTTGAAGTGGAAGGCAACTTAGAAGTCATCTAGTGCAACTTATGCATTTTTCAGATGAAGAAATTAAAGCTGAGAACTTATCCAGAGTCACACAGCCATTAAATGGAAGACGGTTTTCAGACCCAGGACCTTGGATTCCAAATTCAATCCCCCTCCCACCCCCCGAATCTATCATTGTTTGTCTTGATTCACATGGGTGCAGATGGTACTGCCAGAAAGTACAGCATTGCTAATGATTGTGAAGCCTTGGACAAGAAACGCATGAATAAGATAATACACTTTAATTACGGTTATTTGAACGTCATGACAGTGTTAAGTTGGGGTCTCTTATGAATTGCACAATGGGTCAAATTTCATTGAACTCAAATAGATTATTATTTACTGATTAGCATGAACAAGTTTAGTAAAGGCAGAGTACCTGATTGAGAATAAAGAAATGACTACCTTCAAACATAAAAAAAGGAAACAGGGCCAAGCTGAATTAATTAGATAATTGTTCTCTGTTGTTGACTTTCTCCCCCAATTCTTCCTCCCAAACTGTAAGTTATTTGTCATAGTGTCAAGAAAAACTCATCAATACCTAATCTTTTTTCCTTTGTTTTCCTTCTTGTTTATAGGTCCTTTGGTGTGAATTATTTTATTATATATTTATATAGGTCTGAGAGATAAGGAAGGGAAAGTAGCAAAGAAGGACCCTGAAAAGTACCCAGGGGAAAGAGTAATCAACCCATAAGTATGGCACCAAGTAACTGGTTCCTGGTTTTTGGCATGTTGTATGAAAGGAAGAAATAGAAAAGGACATGAAGATGTCTCTCTGCTAACAAATGTCCTTCTCTCTGCAATTCCTGTCAATCTGAGATTCTCTGGGGCTAACAAGAAGCTCTTTGAAAATGACTATTCTATTCTAGAGAGGTTAAAGCTTACCAACTATTCACATCTTATTATGAGCCAATTCTTTAAAATGAGATAATACCAGCCTTGGTTGATTGATGAGCAAGCAAGAAAGGGGTAGGCCATTTTAGGATGTGACAACTCAAAAGTGGGGTAAATCTTTGTTATTGTATTTGGTAGTGGTGGTTATGAGGCTTGTGGATAGTATACAATTCCTGGTGATAGGGAAAGGGGCTGAAGAGAACACTAAAGAGAACCTTTGCCCACTTTGCAACTTTTCTGAGAGTCATCTCTGATGGCCCATGTATCATGCGAATTGTTCCATGAAAGGCGGATTTGACTTGTTTTTGAGACTTAGTTTCTTTATCTTGCTCACGCCGGAAGTGGCCGTGTATGGGCTCAATTCCATTGCTGATAGACACAGAAACTTTGACCTGCTCCATTTCTAACTTGGGCAGGTTTGCCCTTGTGTAAGCAGCTTGTGGCTGCTTGCTATGTTGATGTTGGACTTAGTGAAAATACCTGATTGATTTTAGCCCCTCTGCAGCAAGTAGTTGTTACAATAGAGGATGAAACTATTCACTTTACTGTGTCCTTACACAGGGGTTAATGACTTTCTAAAATTAGACCGTGAGGTAGTTGGTGGATTTCTATGTTGTTTGTCCATCAGAATACCATGAAACGATTGGGATTTTCCCCTTACAAGCATCATCTATATCTTACTGTCAAATTGTAGGTGTATCCCAAGATTCTGTCTTGATTCTTCTGTCTTTAAATCTCTCTAAGTAATACCCTTTCATTTGCCATTAATTCAATTATCGTCTCTATGAGAATGACTCCCACTTCTGTATACCTAGCACTAGTCTCTTTCCCAAGATGCAGTTCCACATTATCAATCATTTATTAGACATCAAACTGCCTTTTTTTTTTAAAAATAGGCATCTTACATTTAGCATTGCTTAAAATAGAACTCATTATTCTCCATCACACTTCCCTTCCACATTTCCCTATTTTTGTCAAGAGCACTACTATCCTTCCATTCAACCTTGATTGTCATCTCTGACCTTTTACTCTCCTTCATCTTCCCCTGTCTCTCCCACATCCACAAGGTGCCAAGTAAAATAGACTGTATGTACTCTGTACCTCTCCCATTCATTCTCTTCTCTTAGATTATGGTTACCACCAGAGTTCAGCCCATATCACCTCTCTTCAAAACTATTGAAATTACCTCTTAATTGATCCCTCTCCCTCCAGTCTACCCCCTCTTCAGTCCATTCTCCCCACACCTGGCAGACTGATGCTCCTAAGGCACAGCTCTAATCATGACATTCTTCTGCTCAGTACACTCCACTGACTTCCTATTATCTCTAAGACAAATACAAATGCCTTCATCTGACATTCAAAGTTCTTTGCAACCTGCCTTAAACCTATCTTTCCCAGTCTTATTCCACATTATGCTTCTTAATGCAACTTTGTAGTCTAGCCAAAATGGTTTTCTTGCTGTCCCTCATGTATGACATTGTGTCCCCTATCTCTGTATCTTTCAACAGATTGTCCCCCATGCCTAGAATTCCTTCCTTCCTCACCTCCACCTGCTAGAATCCTTAGCTTCCTGCAAAGCACAATGAAATGCCAGCTCCTACATTAAAACCTTTCCTACCCCAATTACTTCATATTTATGTTATATGTATTTTATGCATAGAATGCTTATTTAAAAACTACTTACTTATACTTAAATATAAAGTATATTATGCATACTTATATATGCATATCCTCCTCCTGTAAAGTGTAAGCTCATTGAGAATAGGAGCTTTTATTTCTTTCTTTGTATCTTTAGCATGAAGCATAGTGCCTGGCACATAGTAGGCATTGAGTAATTGTGTATTGGTTGAGTGATACCTGTATCTCCTCTTTCTCATCACCTTTCTTCTTGCCAGTTTCTCTCTCCTCAGTTTTCTTTTTATTATACTTATATGTGTATGTAATAATAGTAGCCAGTATTTTTATATTGATTTAAGGTTTGCAAAGCTCTTTACAAGCATTATCTCATTTTATCCTCACAACAACCCAATAAGGTTGGTGCTACTTTAAGGCCCATGTTATAGATTAGGAAATTGAGGCAGACTGAGGTTAAATGACATGTCCACAGTCACAGGGCTAGTAAGTGTCTAAGGCCAGATTGTACTCAGGTCTTCCTGATTCCAGGTACAGAATTCTACTCACTGAGTCCCCTAGTAAAATATGAATTCCTTGTGGGCAGAGTTTTATTTCATTTTTGTCTTCATGTTCCTAAAGCCTAGGATAGTACCTTATACATAGTAGGTGCTTAATACTGTTGAATTGAAGGTATTAATTGGATCTTTCTCAGCATTTTTAGGTTGAGGACAAATGTCCTTAAGGTGTTTTTAGGTCTGTTATGAGTGGTCTCCCCAACTATCCCTTCAGGAAAGATACAAACTCCACAAGGGCAAGAACTGCATTTATCAACCAATCAACAACCATTGTAATGGTTTCAGTCCATCCAGGCTTTCATGGGATTAGAGATGAAACTATGAATATAGACAACCTTTTTTTCCCATTTTAATAAACTCTTATTATATCTCAGACTGGTATCTGAGAGATAATGTTATTTTTATCTTGTTAAATCAGTTTAAAAAAACTTAAAAAACCACCCTTGTTGCTGTATTAACATTGCAGTTTGCTATGCCTGCCTAATTTAGAATGAGTGTGGTGTGGTTGGAAAGTGTATTAAAAGACCTGGAATCAGGAAATACAGTTCTGGGTGTAACACTGTGTGTGACCCTGGGAGATCATTTAGCCTTATTCTTGAGGCTCAGTTTATTCATTTAAAATTGACAGTAAGAACGCTTAGCTCCCTGACTCATATATTTATGAGAGAAGAGCACTTTACAAACCTTTAAGGTTCCTTTTTTTTTTTTTTTTTTAGGATAGGCAGTGGGGTTAAGTGACTTGCCCAGGGTCACACAGCTAGTAAGTGTTATGTGTCTGAGGCTGGATTTGAACTCAGGTCCTCCTGAATCCAAGGCTGGTGCTCTGTCCACTGCACCACCTAGCTGCCCCAAACCTTTAAGGTTCTTTAAAGATACTACCTAAAATGGTAGCAGTTTAACATGTAGGGAAAAAAAACATTTGTAAATGATTTATGGTACAGCAAAAGAGTTTTTCTTGTCTCGGCATTTTTTGTTGTTGTTGTTAATCTGAACACGTTAGGACTGAGTGTTTAAAAAAAAACCTTAGGGTTTGTTGCTGCCTCACTTTGCCTCTTCTCTTGTACATTCACAGATAGGAAAGACAGGCGCCTATCTTCAGTTCCTCAGCATCTTGTCTAGGATGCTCATCCGTCTGACAGAAGTTGATGTCTATGATGAAGAAGAGATCAACATCAGTAAGTCATCATCTGGCCACAACTGTAATCAGGAACTTCATTTATCAAATCATCAGTTGTAGTTTCATTATGTCCTTTATATCCTGAGGGATTGTAAATTCCTTAAGTTCACGGAATGTGCTCTATTCATCTCTGTATCCCTAGGGATTAGTGTTGAGCAAAAGATCTTATGCATGGTAGATGATCAGCAACTATTTTTCAATAAATTGCTTGACAGGCAAATATTAGATAACACTGTTGGTAGATCTATTCCTATGATACTTTCTTTACCTCTCATAAAATTTATCACACTCTGCCATGCATCATAGTTCTTTTATTTCTTATATACTTTATCAGACTATAAACTCCACAAGGGCAAGACGATATTATATCAATCAATCAACAACCATTTATTAAACTCATGCTATGGGCCAGGCACAGGGATTCGAGGGTAAAAGAAAACACTCACTGACCCAAAGGAGCTTACATGTTAATGAGGAAGACAAGATGCACATCTGCAAATATGTACAAAACATATACAAAAGAGTAATCTTTAGTAATAACTTTTGGAGGATCAGGGGTAGGAGTTGAGTAGAGGAAGGCACACTAGCAACTTCTAGGGGATCTAGGGAATCAGGAGAGTCATTGAGCAGGAGATACTACCCAACCTGAGTCTTGAAGGAAACTAGGTATTCCAAGAAGTAGGGAGTACATATATGTTTCGGGCAGGAACAATACCAATGCTGTTAAAGGACAGAGAGAAAGGAAATATAGTGATCTAGTGAGGGAAGACAAGGCCACAGAGGAGTCAAAGTGTATGAAAGAGAGGAAGATGTAATATGACTGGAAAGGTAGGATGAGGTCAGTTTGTGAAAGGGCTTTAAATGCCAAATTATGAAGGGCCATGGCTGTGCTAAGTTAAAATTCAGTCTTCTTTCTCTTTATTCTGTAAGGTTATCATTGTACCCTAGCTCTTCTCTTCTAGGTTAAGTTCTGGGTGAGAAATGGGCAATTCAGATTGTGTCATATGGCACAGCTGGGCAAGTCCCATGCTGATAGGTGAAGCCTCCTTAGTATGGGGACATCTACATCATGGTCCCAGCCTTTGAGTGTCCTCAAGGCTCTGTCCTGGGACCTTTCCTCTTCCCTTTTTCCACCTGCTCACTTGGTGACCTTAGTAACTCCCGTGGGTTTAACCCAGTTTATGTGTGCATGTACATATCTACATACTTATGTATGTGCAGATATAGGAATATGTGTCTGTATGTATATGTGTTCATATTTGTATATGCGTATAGGTCCATTGTGTATATATGCATCTATCTATCTATCTATAGATATGTATATGTGTATACATATGTGTACATATACTATATGTATTGGTGAAGGAAATGACAAACCACTCCAGTGTCTTTGCCAAGAAAAACCCCCAAATGGGGTCACAAAGACTTGGACATGATTAAAGAAAAGATAACTGAACAACAATGTATTATATGCACAATGTACCATATACACAGGTACATCATATATTATATGTATATGCAGTATATGTAGCATGTATTGCATACATGCACACATATATGCACAAATGCTCACATGTAGCTATACATAAGCACCTGTAGATATATGTGAACATATGTATGCATGAGTGTATAGGTGTGTGTATACATATACATACACATATGCATATACCTACACACATACATGAATGGACAATGAAATGATGTTGCCCTTAACCAAAGAAGTGGGAAGTGCGATAATGAATTTTGTTTTACAAATATTGAGTTTGAAATGTCTATGGGACATCCAGTGTGTGTATATATTTATGTTTATGTATATGTACATGTACATGTATATGTATATGTATATGTATATGTATATGTATATGTATATGTATATGTATATGTATATGTATATGTATATGTATATGTATATGTATATGTATATGTATATGTGTATCTGTATGTATACATGTATGCATATATATATGTGTGTGTATATACATATACATATACATATACATATACATATACATATACATATACATATACATATGTATATGTATATGTATATGTATATGCATATGTATATGTATATGTATATGTATATGTGTATCTGTATGTATACATGTATGCATATATATATATGTGTGTGTCTCTCCAGCCCCAGTCTCTGCTGAGTTACAACTGCCTATTGAACATTTCAAACAAAATAGCATATGTGCAAATCTTAATGAGCTATATAAATGCTAGCCATTATATGAATATTAGCTATTAAACTGGATGTCCCATAGACATTTCAAACTCAGTATGTCTAAAACACAATTCATTGTCTCTGCTCCCCCACTCCTCACCTGAACTTATTTATTTTTATTAATTGCAATATCCTTTCATTTTCCTCAGTTCCTCCATATCATACTTAACTCTACACTCTTCCCCAGCCCACCTATTCATTCAGCTGCCGAATTGTGTCATTTTTACCTCCATAGTGTCCTTCTGACTCCTTTTCTTTGCTCACATGGGTACCACCCTAATTAGGCCTTCATCTCCTCATGCTGACTACTGTAGTAGCATCTTAATTTTGCTTCATGTTACAATTTGTCCCTTCTACAATCCATTCTTTGTACAAATGCCAAAGTGATCTTCCTAAACTGCAGGTCTAACCCTGAGACTACTCATTTCTCTACTCAATAAATTCTAGTGGCTGCCTATTGCCTCTAAGATGAATAGAAATTTCTCTGTTAGGCAAATACAGTCCTTCACTACCTTGTCCTAACCTGCTTTTCTTGCATTATACATTACTCTTCTTCCTGCTCCTCCATTAATGCTCCCTTCCTATTCTGTGGTCCACCCAAACTGGCTTTCTTGCTGTTCCTCATGCACAATGTGTCTTATTCCATCTTTGTGCCTTTGTACTGTCTGTCCTCTGTACTTGAAATATACTTCCTACTTGACTCTGCCTCTTACCGGCTTTTGTTTCTTTCAAGATTCAGCACAAGCCCTACTTTCTTAACGAAGCCTTTCCTGACCACTTCCCTCTCCCAACCCCAAACTAATTTTTTCTCTCCTAAATCTACCTGGTGTGTCATAAGGTTATAGCTCATAGGATCAGAGACTTGGAGTTTGGCAAGGACTTTAGAAGTCATGGAGTCTGGAAACTGAGGCAGACAGAGGTCAAGTGACTTGTTCTGGGTCATACCTTTAGTAAATGTCTGAGGCAGGATTCAAACCCAAGTCTTTCTGACTCTAAGTCCAATACTGTGTCCCTACACCATTTATTTCACATATATATCTGTACACACACACACACACACACACACACACACACACACACACACACACACAAAGTATATATACTATATATATTTATTTATTTTCATGTCTCCTCTTCCGGGTAAAATGTAGGCTCTTTGAATGCAGGACTGTTTCATTTTTGTTTCATATCAACAGTATCTAGTACATTATCTGATAAATAGTAGGGACTTCAAAAAGTTGGTTGGTTGGTTGATTAATTAGGCATAAGGTGTTTCCAAGCAGTATGTGAACAAGTTGAGTCCAGAAGCCATCATACCAAGGTTTTGGGTCATGGAACTAAAAGATCAGAGAGTTATTGAAGTTTGGAAACAGAAGCAAGGTCAGAATCAGGATCAGTTAAGTTAAAAATCAAGGTCTGTAGACATGTGGCAGGGATTGAATATCAAGATAGACAATAGGAGCTTGGATTCACCAAAAGGTTTCGTTTGCTAGTCCCGATGTTCTGTGGGGATGTGAATGTTTCTGTATAGTTGACCCTACCTTCTAGTTTTCTTGGAATTTACTTCAGCTACAGAAAATAGCCAATGTGGTCATGGACTACATTAAGAGGAGAAAACCTTCTAGGAATAGAGAAGTGAGAGCCCTATTGCTGCAAGCAGACTCCCAGAAATCATTTGGAATATTTTACTTAGTTCTGGGCACTCTGGATTTAAAAAGATACTGACAAGCCAGTAAGTATCTATCGAAGCACAACTAGTGAAGGGCTTTGAATCTACGACACCTGAGGACTGATTGAAAGAACTGGACATATTTAACCTGGAAAAGAAAAGACCTAGAGGGGTGGGCATGATTGACGTTTTCCAACATTTGAAGGGATATCACATGGAGGAAGGGATAGTCTTGTTCTGTTTGGCCTCAGAGAACCAGGAAGTATAATAGATGGATGTTGAATAGCTAAATTTATTAGCTTGACGTCAGGAAAACCTTCTTAATAATTAGATCTGTCCAAAAGTTGGGGAGATCTCCAGTCAGAGGCTGGCTGACTACTTATCAAGTATTTCACAGTGGGGATTGATTCTTTTTGTGTATTGGTTGAACTAGATGGCTGCTGAAGTCCCTTCTAACTCTCAAATTCTGTCATTTTTGGGAGCCCCCAACCAGACAACCTTCATTTTTCTCAGTGGAAATGATTGCATCTGAGTGTTGGTAGATACATATTCCTTTTCTCACCTTATTAGAATAGTCTTCAAAATTGGCTATAGTCCAGTAGCCTGAGAGGAACAGCAGAGGAATACGTAGCACTTTATGTGATTCTTAAAAATCTTAGTGCATTTGCAATAAAAAAAGTTGTGATACTCTGACTTTTCTGTCATGTGTTGATTTCTGTCCATTTTAGACTTAAGAGAAGAATCAGGGGGGCATTATCCTCAGCACAGTGATGCCTGGCCTGACTTAGAGATCTTTAAGAAGATGCCTTTTGACTACATTATTCATGATCCCAAGTATGATGATGCCAGTATGATTTGTTCACACCACCAGAATGTAAAGAGTGACCGTAAGACTTTGAAAATTCATTTCTTCTAATGTGTTGCTTCCCAAATAGTGTAGTTGAATTTTTATTCTCTTGTCTTTAATTGTGGAGTGGAATTTCATTAGCCAGCAATGCCTGATGCATTGAGAAATTATCCCCATTGTATCCCTTCAGGTTTTCTAGTATCTGCTGGGTAGTTCTGTGTCCTCCTGTGACTATAAATAGTAAGGAGAAGGAATGAACCACTGTGGTTGTTATTTTGAAAGTTCATAGCATCAGAGTTTTATAGTTAGAGGAGACCTTATAGATTATCTAGTCCTACCCCCACATTTCATAGAAGGGGAAACTGAGGCTCTGAGAGGAGAAGTGACCTGCCCAAAAAGTGGCAGAGCTGGGATTTGAACCCAGATACTCTGATTCCAAACCCAGTGTTATTTTCACTGCATCATGAGCTGAACAGAAGCTCAGAAATTTTTGAATAATGGTAGTGAAATGCTTGGTTATCCAACATGATGAGGGACTAGTGTATTTGGGTTAATCCAGTATTTTGGTTAATAGAAACTCCTGTTAACTATGAAGAATTTGGAAAATTTCTTTCATTTCATTTACTTAAGAACTAGGCAAATGAAATACAATTTTTTAAAGATTGCAGTGCCACAGGGTCATTATCATTTGTTGTTGTTCAGTTGTGTCCAGACCTTTGTGACTCTGTTTTGGGTTTTCTTGGCAAAGATACCGGAGTGGTTTGCCATTTCTTTCTCCAGCTCATTTTATAGATGAGGAAATTGAGGCAAACAAGGTCAAGTGACTTTCCCAGGGTCATATAGCTAGTAAGTGTCTGAGACCAGATTTGAACTCCAGTCTTCCTGACTCCAGGGCTGTTCTCTATCCACTGCACTAGTCATTATTAAAGGCCTCATTATTGTGTTGCATGGGTGTAGAAGTTGCCATATAATGGAGCTTTCATGTTTTTGTAATAACAATAGCATTCATAGTAATGTGAATCAGTGTACTCTGATGATGCAGTGTGAATAGTATTGGCTTTAGGATCAGAGGACTTGTCCTTTCTCAGCTGCTCATTTCCAGTGTGGCCTTAGGCAAATCTCCCAACCTTCTGGGGCCTCAGAATACCCTTTGAAAAAAAAAAAGGGGGACTGAACTAGATAACCACTAGGATTTCTTCTAGCTCTGCATCTCTGATCCACATTTCCCACCAACAATTTTCTCTTTATCACTGCCAAGAATAATTTTTCTTTAAAGTTGTAGGATCTTTACTCCCTGAAGGGGTGAAGCCACCAAGTGTCAGTGATTAGGGCTGTTCATCCAGGCCTAAAGGGAAAAAAAATCCTCTTGTGTATGAAAGTCCTGAGTTAAAAGAGTGTCCATTAAAAAAATGTAACTCACATGTTTCACATTGCTATGAGATCCACACAGCAACTCTGTGAGACAAGGCAGCATGAGTGTTGCTGTTACATTGTATAGATGAAAAAAAACTGAGTCTTACAGTAGTGAAGTGATTTGTACTTGTGCGAGGTCAAGCCAGAATTTAATATTTTGGTGAATCCTGTGATGGGCAGGATTTGTCAAAAAGTTCATAGCAGCAAGCCAGGACTACCTACCTACCAGGTAAGGATGAAGAAGGTCTCAGAAAATACTAACAAAGTGCTTTTAAAATGACCATCTTGCATAATACCTCTTCTGAAAGCAGTGTTCTTCCTGTTAATCTTGTCCTTTTCTTACCACACTATTTCAATATCATTGTGCACCTAATTAAAAACCACCAAATCTTAAATTGAGGTGTAATATTAGTTTTCATCCAGGGCAAACATAAAAACAGAAGAAAAAATATAAACAAACAACACCTAAGTTATCCCAAATTGAAGACTAAATTGGGGATTTCTTTTTATTTTTTTATTTAATTAATTAATTAATTTTGGGATTTTTTTGTATTGGACCAATAGCACATGGTACAGCATCTTCATAGTGAGCCATTCAGAAGACTGAACAGATCCTGAAGTGTGTGATTAGGGAACATTGTAAAATCATAGGGGGAACAATAGATTTGATTTTGTCATATAAATAGCTTCCATTTATTGATTAATAAGGTTGTATGCCCATGTCACTGAAAACCATCTTTTGACTAAATGAACTTTGAATTGACTGACTTAGAAAACAACAAAAAACCCCTCTTCAACCAGTTTTGACCCAGTAGCCCTCAGGGAGACAAGCACTTGGGGAAAGAATGTGTGTATTCTATGACCTCCTTCAGCCTAACAAACACTAAGGGGTTTTGTACAGACAAATCAGTAACCAGGAAGCACGAGGATTTGTACATGCGGCGCCAGACAACCCGAATGAGATTGTCCAAATATGCAGCCTATAACACCTACCACCACTGTGAGCAGTGCCATCAGTACCTGGGCTTTCATCCCCGCTACCAGGTAAGTCTTCTTTGAGTCCTAACTCCGGAAAGCTAGCAGTTTGTTATCATCTCCTGCCATATCCATGCTATATTTACATGTGAAACTACTCTTTTTTGCCTCTGATATTTTCACTCCAAAAGAATAGAGAGATCATAGGTTTTTGAGCTCAAAAAAGACCTTAGAATTTATCTAGTCTGACCCCTCATTTTATATTGGAGGTGCCTACAGCAAGTGATTTGCCCAAGGTCACAAAGAATAATAGATGACAGAGCCTAGGATTTGAATTCAGATCCTCTGACTCCAAATGCCACTATGCCTTTGCCACTGTATCATAGCTAATATTTTATTAAAATTATGCATGTGTCTGATTCCTGGACTACTTGTCATCTTTGTGAACCTTCAGTAAATTTTTTGGTTCTGATTTTTGCTGTCGTTCAGGCATTTCAGTTGTGTCTGACGCTTTGTGACGCCATTTGGGATTTTCTTGGCAAAGATAGTGGACTAGTTTGCCATTTCCTTCTCTAGCTCATTTTATAGATGAGAAAACTGAGGCAAACAGGGTTAAGTGACTTGCCCAGGTCACACAACTAGTAAGTATCTGAGGCTGATTTGAATGCAGATCTTCCTGACTCCAGGCCTGGCATTCTATCCACTGCACCACCTAGCTGCTCTTTTGATTCTGATAGCACATCTAATAAGGAATAGTAACTAACTCAAAATTATCCCTCCCCAAAGTTTAATGGAATTTAATTCTTCTAGCTTCTAGACTTCCTAATTTTTAATCAATCCTTCCTTCAGGTAGGTCCCTGTTGCTTGCAGTGGACGGGTTGTTTTAAGCTCTGCTTCTTAATTTGTGAGATGGAAAAGTAAAGGATTTGCAAGATGTAGAACTGGAAGGGATCTTAGAGCCCAACTAGTTTAATTATGTCCTTCCCCTGCAAATTTTTAGAGTCAAGGAAACTGAAGCCCAAGATCACACAGGTGGTAGGTGGGGATTCATAGCTTCTAATGCCAAATGCACATTCTCTTTAATGTATCCCACTTGGTAGACAGTTGGAATCTGGTGTTTTGTATTTAGGATTTCCTTCCCTTTTCATTAAATCCCAACCCAAGAAAGATATGGAAGAGAAAGATGGAGATGGATAGAGAGGGTCAGAAAGGGATTTGGTCAGGGATAGGTCTTCCTTGCTTTTCATTTTTTTTAAATATAAATTTATTTATTTTTAGTTTTCAACATTCACTTCCACAAGTTTTTGAGTTCCAAATTTTCACCCATCTCCCCTCCCCCCACCCCAAGATGGCATGCATTCTGAATATCCCTTCCCCACGTCTGTCCTCTCTTCTATCTCTCTGCCCTTCTCTTATCCCCTTCCCCTTCTATTTTCCTATAGGGCAGGATAGACTTCTGTACCCCATTTCCTGTATTTCTTATTTCCCAGTAGCATGTGAAAACATTTTTTTTAAACATATGTTTTTAAAACTTTAGGTTTCAATTTTCTCTCTTCCTCCCTCCCCCCCACCCTCATTGAAAAGGCAAGCAACTCAATATAAGTTCTACACGTGTAGTTATGCAAAACACGTCCATAGCAGACATGTTGTGAAAAACTAACTCTATTTCCCTTAATCCTATCCTGCCATCCCATTTATTCTATTCTTTCTTTTGACCCTGTCCCTCCTCAGAAATATTTACTTCTGATTACCCCCTTTCCCAATCTGCCCTCCTCTCTATCATCCCCCTGCTCTCTTGTCCCCTTCTCCCCCTATTTTCCTGTAGGGTAAGATAGATTTCCATACCGAATTGAATGTGTATGTTATTTCCTCTTAGTTAAGCCGAATCCTATGAGAATAAGATTCACTCATTCCCTCTCACCTTCCCCCATTTCCCCTCCACTGTAAGAGACTTTTCTGGGTTTTTTTTTGTGAGATAATTTACCCCATTCTACCTCTCTCTTTCTTCTCTGAGTATCATCCTTTCTCATCCCTTAATTTTATTCTCCAGATATGACCCCTTAATCTTCAACTCACCCTGTGCCCTCTATCTATCTATATATACATACATACAATTTTTTTCCTTCAACTACCCTAATACTGACAAAGTTCGCATGAGTTATAAGTATCATCTTTCCATGCAGGAATGTAAACAGTTCAATCTTAATAAGTCTCTTATGATTTCTCTTTCCTGTTTACCTCTTCATGTTCCACTGGAGTCCTGTATTTGAAAGTCAAATTTTCTCTTTAGCTCTGGTCTTTTCATCAGGAATGCTTGAAAGTCCTCTGTTTCACTGAATGACCATTTTTTTTCCCTGAAGGATTATACTCAGTTTTGCTGGGGAGATGATTCTTGGTTGTAATCCTATCTCCTTTGCCCTCTGGAATATTATATTCCATGCCCTGCAGTCCTTTAATGTAGAAGCTGCTAAATCTTGTGTTATCCTGATTGTGTTTCCACAGTACTTGAACTGTTTCCTTCTGGCAGCTTGTAATATTTTCTCCTTGACCTGGGAACTCTCTTGCTTTTCATTTTAATCAACATCAAACAGCTGACTGCACTTTTAATTTAATTCTTTGTCTCTGGCATGGAAATATTGCATTCAGTTGTCTCAGCTGGTAATGAGATTTCTGTTTTGAGGAAGAAAGAAAAAATATATAGTGCATGCACTAAAAATGTTTTTCTTCATTTCCTACTTAAAGGCTATGTATTATCCAGTGGGAGAATTACATGATATGGAGTAATATAGTGCTATATAGCACTTTATTACTATAAAAATAAGTATGGTAATCATTCTTAGAACACAGATTTTTTCCCCCTTCTCACAAAAGACATTTTCTAACCCATCACAGGGCAGCTAGAAGGTGCCATGGATAGAATGCTGTGCCTGGAGTCAGGAAGACTTATCTTCCTGAGTTCAAATCTAGCCTTAGATACTTACTAGCTATGTAATCCTGGGCAGGTCACTTAACTCTGTTTGCCTCAGTTTCCTCATCAGCAAAATAAACTGAGAAGGAAATAGCAAACCACTACAGTATCTTTGTTCAGAAAACCTCAAACAGGGTCACAAAGAGTCAGATGTGACCAAATATACAAGATATTAAACTTTAGTATGTACTAATAAAGGGTACCTTTTGGTGTTCCTGCTCAAAGTATCACAGCCATAGTCAGCCAAAGGGATGTGGGGGTTGCTATTATTAATTACAAAAATTCAAGCTGATATTTCCCAGCCTCTGTACTGCTTTTTACAGTGTCTCACAGGAAATATACCTGGGGAGTGGGGTTAGGTTTTACAAGAAAGTTTGAACTTGGGATTCTTAGAATTAGCTTTATCTAGTTCACTGTCTAATCTTGGAAATAATTAAGACTATTCTTGTGGCTTGTCCCTTGCAGACCTTATCTTTCAATTGGGAAAAGCCACCAGATATAAGTAGAGGAAGTGCTGGTAAGAGCAGGATAGTTTAAAAGATGAACATTTTTTTGATAAAGAAAAGAATTGTTTTTTAAAGTTATCTTTGTATATTTGTAAGTGGCAGCCTGAAGGAGTTGATAAAGACCTGGGCTTGGAGTTCGATCAGGCGGTTATAGGACTCTGGCTTCAGTGCCAGAATGGAAAATAGAGTTACTTTAGTTTATCCCCTTCACAAGTGAGGTGTGGAGAAGTTGTGACTTCCTGAAGGTCACATAGGTTATAAATGCTAGACTTCCAGACTCACATGATCTGGGTTCACCTTCAGCCTCTGATAATTATTTAATAGCTGCTTGACAGATCAATTATCCTTTGTCCATCCCAATTCACTCCTATCTACTAAATCATAGAAGAGTTGTTGGTGGAGGGAGTTCCCATGCCAAGAGACCCTTAGAATTCTGAAATCACAGATCCTTCTTGTATTCTCAAGTGTATATTCATAGGACTTATGTCTAGACAGTGAAATGTCATACATTATCATAGGATCCAGAAAAGGTCCTTAAAGATGGTCTAGTCATAGGTCCATAGGAACATAGATTTAGAAGCGGAGGGGATCTCTGAGGCTATCTAGTCCAAACTTTTATTTTATAGATGAAGAAATTAAGGCCCATGGAGATCAAGTTACTTGAACAGGGTCATACATGCAGTAAATGTCAGAGGTGAGGTTTAAATGCAGGCCCTCTCACTCCAGAGCAAGTGTTCTCCTTATTATACCATGCTGTATTTTTCACCTTTCATTTTATAGATGAGGAAATTGAGGGCCAAGGAAGTTAGATAATTTGGCTGAGATTGAATAAGTAGGAAATCTGAGCTCAGACTCAGGTTCTCTGATTCCAAATCTAGTGTGCTTCTATATCTCCTCCTCACTGCATCACATCTGCCTTCTGGTAGAGTGTTGTTTTATAGCCATCAATGAGACACTGTATCTTTAGTAATTTTTTAGATTTTTTTTAATTACTGAAGAGTTATGGGACTTAGAACTAGAAGAAGCCTCACTCACCTTTTACTGCTGAGGAAATTTGTTCCTGAATTGACTTGACAGTTGGGCACACAGGTAGTGCACACTCATGTCCTCTGATTCCAAGTGTGTTCCTCTTTCCACTGCACTGTGATTTTACAACAACTTTGTGCTTCACTGACCTCTGTTAGTGCTCCAGAAGTGATATTCCACTCTAAGGGACCTTAGAGAAAGATGATTTAGTCCCACTGCCTTATGTTACAAATGATGAAACAAAGGCAGGGAGAGGCAAAGTAGTTGGCCCAAAATTTTCATTATGTTACCAGGGCTTAAAAAATGTATACACACATATACATACGTACATACATATATACATATATACGTATACACATATACACACACATACACACAAACGCACGCTTAGAACTTGGTCAGATATTGAAGATGCAAAGGTCATCCACTGCATCCTCAACCATTGCCAGTTATCTTGACTTTTGTCTTGCCATTGGACTTTGATAACTCTGGAAGAGAGAGTGAGGCTTATGACTTTGTGCAGCTCTTCCTCACTTAAGTCCTATTCATGCATAAATTGAGACATTATCCTGTGACGTCATTTATCCATTTTGAAACAAAGGATGAACAAGAGCATACACACATTTGTACAATTATGTAGGAATTTTCAGAGAAAGAAGAAAATAATATCGAAAGCTTCTACACAATAAATAAGTAAATCAAGCAGAATTCTAAACAATGGACCTGTTCTTTGGTTTTGACTTGAGGAGGGAGAAGAGAATAGTGAATAGTGGCTTACAGTGCCCAAACCTCCATTATATTTTCTCCAATTAATCATGTACCTCCTCTTATAATTTGTTCACTCAACAATTATACATTAAGTGCCTACTTTATGTACAGCACTGTGCTAGATAATGGGAGAGATGAACTATGTAGGTTAAGACCTAGTTCTTGCTTTCAGGGAATTTGTTTGGTAGTAGCAAAATCTTAATATTAGATCACTGATGATTATTCTTTAGCTCATCTTTTTTTTTTTGAAGGGAATTAGACACTAAATGTCCTTGATTTCATCCATAAGTTTTTTTAAATCAATGTATGCATTTTTAATCTGAATTGACTAGTAGGAATTTATAGTAATTTATGAGGTAAAGAAAGGCACAAAGGTATTTTTTTTTGAAAACATAATTGAACACTTCAAGAATTACATTGGTGTGAATCTTCATTCCTCTGACAGATCACAACTACTTACACACCTTGAACTGGTGGTTATATGAGTTGCTTTGGTCAACAAATTCATATTTGTAGATGACACATATACAGTTCATCCCCAGGCTTGTATTCACGCCTTTCTAGCTTGTGTTCTGCTGGCATAGACTTCACAATCCCAGAGACAAGGCACTGAATAAGGAAACTAATGGAATATTAAAAAAAAAGGAATCAGGCTAAAATTTCAGCAAGAGGGTACATAAATCATAGATTCATTGCTGGACAGAACTTCAGAGGGTATTGAGTCCAATCCTCAATCATGTCCTATTTCTGATACATAGATCCTGGTTGTGTGTATCCAGCAACTCTCTAAGATAGAGAAGATGCATTTACATTTGTAGATGAAATTTCTTCACCCAGAACTCTTAATACCAGTGAAATCACAGGTCCAGTCAAAAAACAAAAATTAGAATTCATAGAATCATTGATTCTTAGAGGTGAAAGATGCATTAAGAGGTCCTCTAGTCTAACCCCTGGTGGAAGCATGAATCTGCTCTACAGTATTCCAAACAAATTGTCTTTTGATCTCTTTTAGACCACTTCTAGTGATGACAAACATACTAGCTTCCATGGAAGGCCAGTGTTGGATAGCTCTAATTTTTCAGAAGTTCTTCCTTCTGTTGAGCTAAGTCTATATCCCTGGCACTGCCACCCATTGATCTTGGTTCTGTTCTCTCGTACCAAGTAGAATAAAATTATTCCCTTTTTCATGTGATAGTATTTTCAATATTTGAAGTCAACTTCCCCTGCCAAGTCTTTTATTTCTCAGCTTACACCTTCAAAATTTCAATGTATCCTTTTATGACACAATTCCCAGTACCTGCACCATCCTTATAACTCTCTTATACTCGAACTCCTAAAGTGTAGTGCATAGAAATGAACAGAATATTCTATGTGTGGTCTGACCAGGGCAAAGTAGAGTGAGAGTATTGTCTCCTTTGCTCTCGATACTGGTTATGTTCAATTGCCCACAAGCAAATATTTCTTTCCTATAAAGGCCTCTTCTAAGGTCCTTTTTTGATACCTCCTTATGACATGAAAGTGATATTAATTCTTGAAAGCTAGAAAGAATACAAGTAGAAACCAGGTAACAGATTGTGTGATTGTCATCTAAGGAGCAGCCTAGCTAAGGTCTAAGATGTTCCTCACTTGGTTATTTGCAAGGTAATGAAATACGGTACCAGAGCAAGTGTTAAGCATATGTAATAAATTGCCAAGATGTTGTGATTTGTGTTAGTAAAGGGAAAATGCACATTTGTGAAATCATAATGCCTTGAAGCATTAAGGAAAGGGTAGTTAAATACTTAGAATAAACTATCACAAGCTAGTCTCCATTTGATGCATAAATACAATAGACAACATTCTGTCTGGTTGGTTTAGGTGTGGAGATTCATGAAGGCATGGGGCTGGATGTAAAGTCCTTGAGGTCAGTGCCTGTGTCATAAAAAGCTTTTGGTTCCCCACCCCCAGCATCATGCTCATAGCAGAGGCTTAATAAATATTTATTGATTGAGGCCCCTTCATGCTTTCACATATTATTTAGTAAATAATATTTTGGTTTATGATGAATCCCTTTTCCATTAAAATGTGTCTTCCAAGATGAAGTTTATAAAATAAATTTAACATTGCTAAAACAGCAAACATAGATAGGAGGTAGTCCTGACTCATGTCTGGAAGGTATGGGAGACTTCTTGATTTCAATAGACAAAATATATTATTAACATTGAAGTTGTCTTTTGCTAGATATGTGTAATAGCGTAAGTTGATATTGACGTGGTGACTAGAAGATGGAGTGTCTATACATTGCACTGATCATCTGGTAGTTTTATCCATAGGTTGTCTTGGTATGAATATCATGATAATCACAGATAGTGATGGCCACATATGGATCTGTATTCTGTTGATAAGTAAGGTTGGGTTCTGATGATGAGACCTGTCCTTTCCCCCCCTTACACCCCAGCTGTATGAGTCCACCCTGCACGCCTTTGCCTTCTCTTACTCCATGCTAGGAGAGGAAATCCAGCTTCATTTTATCATTCCTAAATCAAAGGAGCACCATTTTGTCTTCAGCCAACCAGGAGGCCAGCTGGAAAGCATGAGGTTACCACTTGTCACTGATAAGGTAAGTGGATGTTCTGATATGTAGTTATATAAGGTAGAGACCAACTCTGCTCTCTGGACTTGTGACAGAATGGATTTTATTGTCTAATAAGAAAAGAATCTTAGGTCAAGGGAACATGGCCCAAGGTATACTTTGAAGCAGGGAGGATTATGGTGGAAATAATCAGTTGGAGGTAATTGGTTTTAAGGGAGGAGGAGGACTGCATACCTCATATTCAGTTTAATTGAACCAGCATTGAACATTACTATGTACAGGGCAGTGTAGGTGATACAAACATCGGTTGAGGTGTAGCCCCTGTCGTCAAGCTGAATAGAAGAAGTAAAAGAGCAACAAAGCTGTTGGAGAGAGGACGCTAACATTTTTCAATGATAGTTTTTGTAAAGGTTGCTTACTTCCTCTGATGCTTCTCCATAGCACCCAGGTAATACTAAGTGCTTAAAGTTATGCCAGCAGAGCACAAGATCCTACTAAGCTGGAAAATCTTCAGATGAGGCAGCTAGGTAGTGCATTTCTGGACCTGGAATCAGAATGACCTGAATGTAAATCTGTCCTCAAACAGATTTGAAAGCTCTAGCTGTGTGACCCTGGGCATAGTCATTTAACCTCTGTGCCTCAGTTTCTGATTGGTAAAATAAGGATTATAACTCCTTCCACCTCCCAGGGTTATTGTAAGGCTCCAATGAGATAACACATGTAAACCACTTAGCAAACCTTAAAAATCCTGTTTCAACTGTTAAATGTCAGTCTGGTCTCTTGTTGTAGTCAGCAGTCTAAAAATCAACTTAGCCCTTTCAGAGAATTTCTTCATCAGAAGGCTGACTACCAGGTGAGGCATTTTTCCCCCTTTGGCCATAGTCATTCATTAAAACCATCTAGTCAGGTGCAGAGTATCTGGGATCTGAACTGATGCAAAGAGAATGAAGTCTTGTACCAAGGAAATCTTGTATCTTTGAAGCATTAGAGTAAATACTGTCATATCTCAGAAAAAAGAGTCTTATTTGCTCCCTTCTCTGTTTGTTGTATTATTCTTTATCTTTATATGCCCAGTGCCTAGAAGGTAGAAAGTACTTCATAAATGTGTATTGATCAGATATTTTTATTATTTCCCCTTTCTTTTTCATTGTCCTTCCCTAATATTTTTTGGAGGCTTTCTCATGACAGAAGAGGGTGATACAGAATTCTTGAAAAGCTGTGTCACAGAGTAGATCTCCTAAGCCGAAAAAAGGTTTTTCTATGTATATGTCCCCTAAGACCAGCCTAGCTAAGTTCAGATGGACTAATCCCTAGAATGCTGCTGATTTCATCTTCTATTAGCAACTCATGAAACGTCTACTAAGGCAGGGAGGAGTTGTGATCAGCATCTGTGGAGGGAAACAATCAACAAGATGAAAGTTCAGGTCTTTGATGAATTTAACTATATTCTTGTGGATATTTTGAGGTTAGGCCGTCAGACCCGGCCCCCTAACCCTTTATAAGTCTTCTAAATCAGTATTATGATGTTTGCTATTTGTAGAGTTGGTCAGCTCTTTGGTTTCTTTAGAAAGTAATTGTGACATTCCATCTGGGAAGTCAGAAGAGAAGCCTCCTTATGATCATCAACATTATTGTGTACCCAGGGTTTGGCTTATCAGGTAGATGCAGCTCTTGTTCACAATGGAATGGAAAATATTTTTTAGGAAACACTTGGGCCAAATATTGAAAAGCAAAATAGTCCCTGATTTTAAGGTACTTATATTCTAATTGGAGAAGACAGTGTATATAGCAATAAGTGAGTGGGATATGCATTCTCAAGGAGAGAATACTAATGAAGAGGGAAATAAATAGGACCTAGGGAATGTTTTATGTAAAGTAATAGCAATGTAGTTTTAAGAATGACTCTGAGTGAATAAGTAGTTTGACTTTTATAAATATCCAAATTAACTACAAAGGACTATCTGCATCCAGAGAAAGAAATGATAAATAGAAATATGTATAGAATGATTTTACATATATATACATATATATGTACACATACACATATTTGTGTCTGATTGTAGCCATCTCTAGGGAGGGGGGAAGGGAAGAAAAAAGGAAAAAAAAGAGAAAAAAGAAATTTACATGATAACTTTATTATATATTTAAATCGGATAGCAAGTTGTACATAATAGATTTGCAGTTTCATATCCAATCTTTTTAAAATCATGCTGTGTTATGGAAATGCTTATTTTACCCCATAAATTAAAAATAAAATAAATTTTTTTAAAGAAAAGAGAATACTAACAACAACCACCGACGTTCTCTGTAACACTGTTCACTATGGAGTAGAATTTGGTATAAATTCAGTCCATCTTGGTCCTAATCTTATTACCTGTGTGACCTTGGGCAAGTCACTTTGTCCCTCTGAGTCTCAGTTTCTTCATCCCTAAAATAAGAGAGCTGAGCGAAACAACCTCTAAGGTTTTTGCTAGCTCTTACTGAGTGAGCTCGTGGTCCAGTTTGCCGTGTGCCTTCTTGGCTATCCACCTCACATCTAATCCCAATGGTGACCTCTCCATCCTTGAAACTCCTCAGCCTCATTATCTGTATCACACATTGGTGCAGATATATACTACCATATAATTCTTGCCTTTGTTTTCTTGAATTGTTATTTAACTATCGTATCATGGGTCATGACAAGAAGGGCAACATGGAACAGTGGCTGTTAATGGACTTGAGAGTCAGGGCAACTTGGATTCAAGCCCCACTTTTGATGTATAGTACCTGTGTGACCCTGATAAGGTCACTTAACTTTTCAGCTCCCCAGGCTCCTGTCTGTCTACTGGGTACTTTCTACTTCATTGGTAGAGAAAGTTTCCTCATAGGAGAGCTCCCTACATGAAATTAATCATGGACCTGGACCTCAAATTATGTATCTTATGTTTTGTTTATCCTCCTTGAGGCCAGGGTCCACAGCTTCTTCACCCTCAGTGCCAACTATAGCCACATTTATATAGTAGGTGCTCAAGAGACATTTGTGAATTGATTTACTGAAGTGCCCAAGAGGAATTCTTTGTGATTTATTGAAAAAAACACTGGGTTTAAAATTTAATATGGTTCTTGTACATTGTAAATGCTTATTGACTTATTGACTTTAAAGTCAAACCCTGGGCTTGAATCTCAGGTCTGATATTTATTACTGATATGATATTAGGCAAATTACTCAACTTCTCTGGGCCTTAGTTTTCTCATCTGTAAAATGAGGTTGTTGGATTAAATGAACTGTTAAGATTCCTTCCACCTCCATATCCTGTGATCCTCTGTTCCCCAGTTCTGGTTGCTTGTTTTTTAGTTGTTTTAAACTTTGGACAGTTAAGAGTGGAGTTTCCTTTGAAAAGACAAAACTCAAAGTTTCTGTAACCTATTCATTCACTCATACTACCTTCCCCTTATCCTCCATCTGATGCCTTATACTGACCATTCAGTAGAGCAAACTGGTAATTTCTTGATCACTTCCACCCAGATTGGACCATGGACCAGTTGGTTCTTACCCAGCTTTGAGGTGGAATTTTTAGGTAAGCAGGCATCCTTCAGTGGGGTGCTTGTCTCCGGATGTTTTGGTTAATTATTAGCCAAGTAAAGTAGTTTACTGAAGCAAACAAACAAAAAGTACTTGTTTATAAATGGGCCTTGTAGCATAGAACTCAAGATGTTTTTTGAGAATTCCTAATATTTGTGGTATTTACATAAGAAATGAACATTTATTCATTCAAAACATGTTTATCAATAACCAATACACAGCACTACAGCAGGTGCTATATGGAATAGGAAAGAAATAGAAGACAAATCCCTATATTTAAGGACCATCCAGTCTAGCTGGAGATACAAGATATAAATGGAAGTGGAAAAAGTACATACATGAAGGAAATAGTACCTTATCGTAGGAAGGAAACTTAGCAGTCATCTCATCCAACTTCATTTTGTAGCTGCAGAAACTGAGGTCTGGAGATTTTGTGTGACTTATCCAAGGTCTCACAACTAGTTAGAAGCACAGATGGGACTAGAATGCACACTCTCAACTTCTTATTCAATGCTCTTTCAGTATGCCAAATTGTCTTGGATGCATAATGAGTGAAAATGTTTATACGTGTTTAATATATATTCAAGAGAGTGAGGAGGTATAACATACCTCTAGGAGATTCCAAGTCAAATGAGACCAGTTAGTGCAGGAACATATTAAGCTTCTATTTTAGGTTTGAATAATCTGGTAAAAGTCATTCCTGTACTTTACAGAGCCATGAATTTATAAAAAGTCCTACTTTCACTCCCACCACGGGTCGTCATGAACATGGACTCTTCAACTTATATCATGCAATGGATGGAGCTAATCACTTGCATGTATTAGTTGTCAAAGAATATGAAATGGCAATATATAAGAAGTATTGGCCCAACCACATTATGCTGGTTCTCCCAAGTATCTTCAACAGTGCTGGAGTTGGTAAGTAGAAAAAGAGTAATGTTTTATGTGCATTAAAATTCCATAGAAAGAAGAGGGAGACTTAAAAGAATAGGGTCAGGAGAGAATAGTTGCAAGTTTCATACCCAGCCATTTACTCTTGGCTTTTAGAACTCTTATCTCCATTCCCTACCTCTTTGTTTTCCTTATTCGCATTCCAAGCTTTGTTGTTGGTTTAACTGATAATGATAGTAGTAATAATAATTGATACCTGTAAGTAACAACATTTATTTTATTTATTTTTATTTTTTGGTGAGGCGATTGGGGTTAAGTGACTTGCCCAGAGTCACACAGCTAGCAAGTGTTACATGTCTGAAGTCTGATTTGAACTCGAGTCCTCCTGATCTCCAGGGCCAGTGCTCTATCCACTGCGCCAGCTAGCTGCCCCAACAAACATTTAAAGAACTGTTTACATGTGTGTATGTATATATGTGTATATGTAGAGAGGCAGCTAGGTGATGCAGTGTGTAGAGTGCTAGTCTGGAGTCAGGAAGACCTGAGTTCAAATCCAGCTTCAGACATTTACTAGTAGTGTGACCCTGAGCAAGTCACTTAACCCTCTTTACCTCAGTTTCCTCATCTGTAAAATTGTCTGGAGAAGGAAATGGCAAACTACTGCAACATCTTTGTCAATAAAACCCCAAATGGAATCACTGAGAATCAAACACAACTGAAACAACAAATAGACACACACGTACACATATGTATGTATGTGTATATATATGTGTGTGTATACATACATGCATACATATGATACACAATTAAAGAACTAGTATTCTTTAAGGATTACAAAACACTTTTCTTACAACAGCTCTTTAAAGGAGATGGTACAAGTATTATCTCCATTTTACAAATGAGAAAAATTAGGGTAAGTGTGATAAGAGACTTTCTCAAGCTCATTTAGCCAGTAAGTGATGTCTCAAGCCTGTTAGTTGTCAGCTGAGACAAAAGGAAATCAGAGTAGAATCGGAAACTTTTGCCATCAACTGTCTTATAGAATTCTAGAATCAAAGTCCCAGAACCTCAAAAGGAACACCAACAACTGTCCAGCCCTAGCCATCTTTGAAAGGAATCCCCATTATAATGTATCTAACATATCATCTTTCAGCCTCTGCTTGAATACCTCCAATGAGAACTCACCACCTCCTAAGGCAACTCATTCTACTTCTGGCTAGCTCTACTTGATAGGAAGATTTTCTTGACATCTAGCTCAAATTTACTCACGGATACCTTCAGTGTTGGAAAAGACATCAAAAGCTATCTAGTCTAACCCTTATGCAAACAAAAATCCCCTCTAAGACATCTTAAATGCTTAATCACCTTATCTTTGCTTGAAGGCTTCTGGTGAAGGGGAAGTCACTGTGAAGCTGCCCAGAATTTTTTTAATTGTATTTGCCTCTCCCAAGGAAATAAGATTAATTGAGAAGTACCTGTATAGGGCAGCTAGGTGGTACAGTGGATACAACAACTGGTCCTGGAGTCAGGAAGACCTGTGTTCAAATGAGGCCTCAGATACTTACTAGCTGTGGGACCCTAGGCAAGTCACTTAACCACGATTGCCTTCCCTACCCTCTCAAAAAAGAATTAGATGTACATGTGGGAAAATGGTATGGTGTAGGAGAACTTGGAGTAGGTTTTTTTTTTTCCCCATGAGAAGGCGCTTCAGATCAGAGGAACCACTGGGAGGTGATTACCATATGTAAAAATATGTAAAAGATGATGTATATATAATTGATGTGAATTGTAAATCTTGTGAATTTTGATTTTAGGTGCTGCCCATTTCCTAATAAAGGAGTTATCCTACCATAACTTGGAACTGGAACGGAACAGGCAAGAGGAGTTGGGCATAAAACCTCAAGATATCTGGCCTTTCATTGTCATTACAGATGACTCTTGCGTTATGTGGAATATGGTGGATGTTGATAACGGGGGAGAAAGGCGGAGGTAAACATAGTGAACACCATTTATAGTTACTCTCCTATAATGGATCTTGTTTTTAAAGTACAAAATTAGAGAAATTAATTTTTATTTGTTTTCTGGAAAAATTCTTATCTAAAAAAGGTAAATGCTTTTTTCCTTTTGAAAATTTCCCTTTTATAATATTAAGATGTTAGTGTCTTAAAGCAGGGTCTCTGCATTAATTTCTGACATACAGTTGCTGGTAGACAATATATCTTAGACTCTTTATATAGTCTTAATTCATACAGTTAAGCTCCTTTGGCAGTGAATACTATTAAAAAGAATAGTTCTAACTAACAAAATTTTCCATGTTCCTGTTGATTGATCTGTCCCAAAACAATACTTTTCAAACTTGGTTTCAATTAGGTTTGACACTGTCAGTCTTCCAAAGAATAATTAATATTTCAGCAACTTGAAGGTGTACAAAGTATTAAAAATGGGATATAAACAGTGCCATTATTATTATTCCCATTTTACAGATGAGGAATCCTGTTACTCAAAGATTTTAAATGGTTGGCCAACGTCACATAGCTAGTAAGTGTCAGAGCAAGGATTCAGATCTGTGCTTTTCTGGTTCTACTACAACTTGACTTTATGATGGTTTGCTGTTTATGATGGAGAAAAGACAACTAAGCTTTTGTCCAGCCATCAGGTATCAATTTTAATAACAGACTATCTAAGGAGGCAGCATGGTACAATCAGTAGAAAGCCTAGCCTTGTAATGAGGAAGACATGAGTTCAAGTCCCATTTTGACACATAGTGGCTATAGGACACTGAGCAGGTCACAACCATTCTGTGTTCTAGTCATCTCCATAAGAGTGGTAGAGAAGGTGCCAGCCTACATTGGTAGAGAGAGTTTCTCATGTGAGAATTTCCTAAACCTATGAAATCACAGTCTGTAGTCCCTATTCCTATCGCAGAGCTGGAAGGGAATGTAAAGGTCACAGAGTCCAAACTTCCTATTTGATTGATGAGAGAAACAGAGGCCCAGAGACTGGACAGAGTGTACACAAGGTCACAGGAATAGTGAATGGCAGAGCCTAGATTAGAAGCTGTCTCCACCTTCTAGTCTAGTTGCTTTACCCATTATGGAGTCAGTTTGGTATAGGGTCAGAAACACTGAGTTTAGTCAGAAGACTTGAGTTTGAAATTCAGCTCTCCTGGTATGAGCTTTATAATTTTGGGCAAGTCCCTTCACCTCGCTGATTCTTAGTTTCCTCATAGGTAAAACAGGGCTAATAATAATCATACTGCTCATTTTGCAAAGGTACTGGAAGGAAAGCCCTTGGTAAACCCTAAAGAACCTTAGAAGTTTAAGCAATTATTATCAGACGAAGATACCTCCATTTTCTTTACTCTATCTTACCTCACCCAAATTTTTAAAGCAGTCAAACTGAAGTACTTTCTGCTCCTAATATGCATCCTGAGCATTTTAGTAAAGTTTTGTGACTATAAAAAAATGAAAGTCCTTTGGAATATGTCATAAGAAGATTTGATCTGGGTTTGTTTAAAGTGGGACATCTTTAGCCTCCTGGGCTATTTTGGTCCAGTGCTGATGTAGACAGTAGAATAAAAAGGATTATGCTTTTGTTTGCATGTTGATCCAGAGAAAGTTTTTTCTTCTCTTCCTTCCTTGCAGTGATTACACCTGGTCTGAAAGGAATGTTTCTTTGAAACATATTCTGCAGCACATCGAGGCAGCTCCAAACGTCACTCATTATGCTCTAATTGGGATGCGGAAATGGTCAAGCAAAACTCGGAGTGGGGAGGTCCAAGAACCTTTCTCCCGTTGTCATATCCATGACTTTATTATCCTCAATGTGGATCTGACACAGAATGTACAGTATAATCAGAATCGGTGAGTTATAGACCCAAAAGGAAGCCAGATATTAGCTTCAACCTGTTCTTGATGGTCATCTGACAGTCTGCTTTTCTCTTATTGGTACCTATCTGTTGATTCACTGATAATGGTACCAGTGACCTGAAGCATGTATGCTTGTCCTCCGGGATGGAGGAATCTATAGGATTCTGAGCAGGAAGGTACTTTAGAGATGATCTGATCCAGTTCTTTTGATTTAGAGGTGAGGGCACTAAGGCCAAAAGGCACGTGTATTGTGGCAGCTCAGGACTTTGAGCTATGAACCAGGCTCTTCTAACACTGAATCCGTTGATGTTTTGATAATGTCTGTCTCCTTTTTTCTTTCTACCTCTGGAATAAATTTAACCTTAGAGATAGTATTATTTAATCCTAGAAATCTGCTGTCAGATTAAAAACTGAAGAAAAAAAACCATTTACTAAGCACCCACTGTGTAAAAGGTATGGGGCTCCCTACTGCTTACCGCATAAAGCCCAAACTTCTTAAGGATTTATTCAAACCCTTCCACAAGGGCTTGTCTTCCTGCTTTTCCAGTCTCCACTATTTTCAGCCACGTACTTTATGTTGTGGGGAAACTAGACTCAGAATTGTCCTTGGAATATGAGCCAGGTTTTCCCATTCCTGCCCCTTTGCTGACACTATTTCTTATGCATGGAATACTGCCATCCTTCCTATCTCTGCCCCTTTGAGGCACTGTTGTAGTGGAAAGAGTGCTGGGCTTGGAGTCAGAACACCTGTGTTTGAATCCTGACTTTGAGATTTATGAGCTGTGTAAGGCACTTCTCTTTAAGCTTTAATTTCCTCATTGATAAATTGAAATGGTTGAGCTAGATGCTCTCCAAGGTACCTCGTAGCCCTGAATCTTATTATCCTGTGATATTAAGGTCCTGCTCCAGTACCAGCTTCTCCTGGATACCTTCCCACATCCCCTTCTCCACAATGATTCCTCCCCGCAATGATGGCTAATGGGGTTGGACTGGAAGCAAGTCTGGTGGTCTAGTGGATACTGATATTCCCAAGGCTTCTGGCTTCAGGGTCCTGGGCTGTCTCTGTCAAGGTCTGGGAGCAGATAGATGATGGATGGTGTGGTTGTGGTGGTTTGGCTTGGCATGTGCTGCCTTTCCTCTCTCTCCTTGAGGGTGCATTGTTGCTTTAGGTAGGCTGGCTCACCTAGGTGGCAGTTGCTGGGGCCTGGCTGGCCACTTCTCCAAAGGAGTTGCCATGCTGGATGATGCCTATGAGGGCTGGGTTGGAAGCAGGACTGGTATTTGGTGGGGGGTGGGGTGGGGGTGCTGCTATTCTCAGTAGGACCCTTGTAATTACCTGTCATTAAAATATGATCCCCTTGGTGTCTTTTTTTGTTTGCTTCTCTATAAATTTTTATATCCTATATACATCTTTTCATGGTGACTTCAATATTAATTGATTTCCCTCTTCTATGATCTCAGTACTACATGATTTAGCACCAGATGATATAGTCTTATTTTATTTTTTGATCTGGATCTATGATTTTAACGGCTTGGGGAACTCCATGTGGAAACTCCCTCCTGTTAAGAGACTTGCCTGGAGCATTAAGATATTAAGTTACTGACCCATGGTCCCATAGTTATTATATGATGGAGGCAGGACTTAAAAACAAGACACACCATGATGGTACCTTTCACTGCAGTTTCATATTGTTATTTGACTGTTTCGTTTATACTAGTCTTTTCTCTTCAGCTTGTTAGTAAAGGGAATGATTTCCTGCCTTCAAGGAGCTTGCATTTCAGCATATACTACCTGTATGACAAGGCTGCTTAGCCCTTCATCACTGACTTTATCATCTGTCAAATAGTGTTAATAATATTTACGCTACCTTCTTCATAGAATTGTAGAGAGAAAAGCACTAAGTAGGTCTTAAAATAGTATGAAAATATGAGTTATGTCTTATCTCTCTCTGTGTATCTAGCATAGTGATGAGCACATAATATATTCCCCATAAATATTTATGTACATATACATATATATGTGTGTATTATATATGTGTACTTATATGTATATTTGTAGTTCATTGATTGAATGCTGTTTAATTATAAGTGTGCTGATTGAATTGTCTTCCTCTCTGATTAGATTCACCTGCGACGATGTCGACTTCAACCTGCGAGTGCACAGCGCTGGCCTCCTTTTGTGCCGATTTAATCGTTTCAGCGTCATGAAGAAGCAAATTGCTGTTGGTGGCCACAGGTCCTTCCACATCAAATCCAAGGTGAGTGAGGAAATGGTTGCTGTGTGGTTATTTCTCCCTCTCTGAGTTGGTTAGGGTGCATTGGCAAGAGCCCTGTGCATGAGGTCTAACTTAGCAGCTTATCTTGTGTGTCATTTAAACACTTGGAGTGTCACTGTTCTCATTTGTGACATGGTGATTATAATATGCACCTTGCCTGTCTCACAGGGCTGTTAGGATCAAATGGATGGTGCATGTGATGGCACTGGAATGATACTAAGTTGTTATAGAAATGTAAATTATTTATATAGAAATGTAATGAAATATTATATATTATCACATAGAAACAGTAATGCCTTTCCACTAAAGTCTCAGGTGCCTTCTCAGGTGCCTCACAATTGGGATGCAGGTGCCTTTTGATTGCAGAACACTGTCCTGGCAGGGGACAGGCTTTGGCATATCTTGACACGTTGGAGAGGCTTTGAGGATTTCAAAGGTGATGAACTTAAAGACATTTAATCTTTTGTCTGTGAGCAGCCTAACTAAGTTCAGTACCATTGCTAGAAGGCTGGCCACTAAGGGATGAATTGTTTTAGCCACAACAGTTGATTAAGACCTTTTACTAAGGCATAAAGTGTTTATGTTCTGCGTCAATGGAAGGAATCCTTACCAATGATTTAATAGACCTCTCAAAACAACAGCAACAATAATAACAACAATGATGATAATAATAATGCACCCTGAGGCTTGCATAGCTCTTAACAATTAATAGCGCTGGTTTTTACCTCCTTGTCAAATAGAAAGAAGAGTAAACTTCATCATTTAAATATAGATATGGTTTGATTTTGGTATCAGGTAAACACAGTGTTCTCATGTACACAATTATTCTAAGCCTTGTGAATTTAGAGTTTCCATTGGTTTCTGGAGAAAGATGCTTGGTCTATGGGTTTTCAAATATATCTTTGTACATTTATTCTCAGATGAAGTCTGCAAAAGGACTCTAATTGTGACAGTATTGATAGTGTGCAAAGAGATGTCAATTCAATTCAACCAACATTTATTAATCAAGAGACTGTGATGGGTACTGGAGATACAAAGATGAAAAACAGAAGTCACTAGCTTTAGTGAGCTTACAGGATAATAGTGGGGATATGCCTAGTAAGAATGCAGTTTAGGTGAAAGAGACACCAAAAAAGCTAAGATAATTTAAGAATTCAGGGAATTGAATTCATCTGTAGATGGAGGAAATAGAGGAAAATTTCCATCAATAAGCATTTCAGAAGCACCTAGTATATACACCAGGCACTGTGCTAGGTACTGGAGTTCCAAAGACAAAGATGAATCAGTGCCTGCTCTCAAGGAATTTACATCCTATCCAGGGAGACAGCATACATTAAATATTTACAGAATAAACACACACACACACACACACACACACACACACATATATGTATATTAGAATTACATATATCAACATCTAAAAATAAATACAAGGTAGTTTTGGGATATAAGCACCATCATCTAGGGGAATCAGGAGAGGCTTCATGGAGAAAGTAGACCCTAGGTTGGGCCTTTTTGTTGCTGTTCAGTTGTTTCAGTCATGTCCAACTCCTTGTGATCCCTTTTGGGCTTTTCTTGGCAGTAGTTTGCCATTTCCCTCTCCAGTCCATTTTACAGAGGAGGGAACTGAAGAAAACAGGGTTAAGTGACTTGCCCAGGGTCACACAGCTAGTGAGTGTCTGAGGCCAGATTTGAACTCTGGTCTTCCTGTCTCCAGGCCCAGTGATCTATCCACTGTGCCATATAGTTGTCCCAGGTTGGGCTTTAGAGGAAGAGAAAAATGTCAGTTGGCAGAAATGTGATGGGATAAGGAATATAAGGAATGTGCTGAGCATGTGAATAGAGAAGAGGCAAGAGAGGGCAGAATGAGACTGGGAACCAGTGAACAGTTTATTTTGTCTGGCATCAGTAATAAAAGAAGCAATGCAAAAGCAATGTAAGGTTTTAATAGGGTAAATCTTCTGAATTTGAAAAGTGCTTTGTAAACATAGTTTCTAGTGTTTTAGTCACTATTTCTATATTGAGTAATGCTACTCAACCATTATCATCAATACCAATTTTCACAGACTTCTTGTTTTCTCATGGTGATGGAGACGTTTTTAACCATGTTGTATTCCTCATGCAAACTCGCTTTTCAAAATACTATTTGGGCCATGGGATTAAGCCTAGTATTGTGAAGATTATACAGTAGGAATATAAATGGAACTTTCTATTGTATTTCTTTGTAGTGAGTTTTCATTTCAACATACAGTGATGAAGGAATACAGAACAAAGGGGAGGGTCAGTTGATATATAGCTGCAATTAATTTGCAAAATATTCCCAAGAAAGGTCTTTCCAGGGTTCGTTATTACCCTTCTTAGTGATGGAAAGTAAATGTATTTTCTCTGAAAAGTGAAACTCAGTATCTAGGCAGTCCAGACTCTTTCTTCCCTGATAGTAAGATGACCAGCATTGGGTCCAGTCTCTGAATAACCAAAGGCATTAGGTCCAATATTATTCTCAAAGCCATCATTCTTTTATAGGGAAGGGAGAGCAGGAAGATAATATAACAAATGATTCTAAATGTAGGCCATAACTCCTGGCTGGTGTAAAACCTGAGTGTGACCCACATTTCCTGCCTTTCAAATCCAGTGGGTGGTAGTGATGATTTATCGTGGAAAAGTTGAGATAAAGGGAACAATAACAAGGGCTTAAGGTAGAGATCAGTAATAGTACAAATGAATAAAACAAAAAATTTCACAGTAAACATGTATTTAAATGGTAATTTTGCATAATAATTTTTTGGTGCATAAATCTAGTCTTTATTTAATAGATTAAAATAATTTTATATAGATAAATAATATATTATAGACAACATTTACATTGACTTAATTATATACTATATCTAATATATAATTTATATGCCATAGCTAACTTGTATATAACATTTCTATGTATGAATAATGTATGCAATGAAATAAATAATTTATAAAGGAACCTAGAAATCATTTTAGCCAGGCAGTATTTTATCTCCTTGGCAAGCAAAGAGATGTGACAGTCAAAATCAACACAATAGAGTATAGACACAATTGTAAAATACTGGTGAACAAGGCAGATACCTACTTTGTCATTTTTGTAAAAGTTTTGAGAAAGATACATATATCAGGGATATACTTGATGGAAATGAGAAAAGCATGCTTTGGTCTGGGCTTCTGGCCAAGACGCTGCCTTGATTTCAGTGAGGCATGTTTTACAGTAGGCCTTTCCCTAATCTATCAGCGTAGTCTATAGTCTTTCCTTAATCTAGTCTAGTCTTTCCCTAATCTATTTAGTGAGAAATGGAAATGAAGTGTATTGGACATAATTTCTTTTATTTTTAATGACTTGTTCTTTTGCTGTTTCATTATGATCTTTGCTTCATTAAGGGCCCTCAAATCATTTCTTATAACACATTTTCTAAAAATTTTGCTTGATATCACTCTCAAGTCTTATGCTCTACTGAGGAAATGGAGGCTATTAGACCTGGCCTAACTCTTTTCCTTTGCTCTATATTTCAAAACCCTTTGACAACATCCCCCCCCCCATTTCTATTTGTCTCTGATAAGGAGATAACCTTCCTCCTCACCAAGGCCAGTCCCAATTCACATACTTTTAATCCCATTCTCTCCCATCTTCTCTGGCAGATTTCCCTGATGTTCACCCCCTTTATCTTTCTTAATCTTCAGTTCCTCCTTTTCTATGGTTTCTTTCCTTTCTCTCTACAAACATGCTCAAGTCTTCAATTCTTCATAAACTTTCATTTGACTCTGTTGGATAGTCCAATCAAAATATCATTCTATATTTTTTCTTCACTTTCCCCAAACTCCTAGAAAAAGCCATCGTTCTCCATGTTCTTTCCTTTTATTCCCTTCTCATCTTTTTGTTTAAGTATAGCTTCTTATCTGTCAACTGAAACTGTTCTCTTCAAAATTAATGGTGATTTCTGAATTGCTGAAATGGAGGCCTTGTCTCAATCTTGATCCTTCTTGACTTTTCTACATATATTTGACACTTTTGACTACTTTTTCCTCCTAGACTTTCCTCTCTGGGTTTTCATGACACTGTTCTCTCCTGGTTCTCTTCCAGTCTATCTGATCACTCCTTACTCTTTTTTGCAGAATCATCCATAGCATTCCCCTTCATTCTTCAGTATACCCTAAAGCATTCTTCTCTCTTTATTCTCACTTACTTGGTGACCTCATCGGATGACATAGTTTAATTATTCCCTCTATGCTGATAACTCCCAGATCTTTACTTCCATCCCTGGTCCTTATCCTGTAGTACTATATCACCAATGGCCTACTGGATTGTTAGAAATATTGAATATCCCATAGACATCTCTAACTCAAGATGTCCAAAACTGAACTCACCTTATCTTCCACACCTGCACCTTTTCTGAATTTTCCATAATTCTGTCAACGGCACCACCATCCTTTTAATCACTTTTGTAAACTTAGTGCCATCTTCCACTCTACGTTCTCCTTTGTCTCCTATATATCCACTTAGTGGCCAAATCTTGCCATTTCTACCCCCAAAGCATCTTCCCATATCTGCCCCATTCTTTCCCATCCACTTGCCCAGCACCCTGATTTAGGTTCTCATTACCTCTTGTTCTTTTCCCCAAGCTTACTCCATTGCCTGGAACATCCCTTAGTATGTCTATCTCTTAGAATCACTAGCTTCCTTCGGAGCTCAGCTTCCATGCTACCTTCTACATGAAGCCTATTCCTAGTCCCCCAGTGGCTAGTATCTTTCCCTTATAATTACCTTGTATTTGTTTTGCATGTATTTTATTTATGCTTATATAACAACAATAACTAACATTGAGCTTCAAGGTTTGTAAAGCACTTTACATGTGTGATCTCATATGATTCTCACAACAGCCCTTTAAGTTAGATGCCATTATTATCATCCCCATTTTACTTATAAGAAAACTGAGGCCAAGAGAAATTAAGTAACTTATACTATGTCAAACATCTAGTAAGTGTCTGAGGCTAAAATAAAAGTCAGAGCTTTTAACTCCAAGTCTAACACTTTATCTATTGCACCACCTGTCTGCCTATGTTATACATGTATAGGTTGTCTGCTTACTAAATGTAAGCTCCTCCAGAGCTAGGAGTGTTTCATTATTTTCTTTTATCTCTAGCATTTAGCCCTTGATTGATAAAGTTTGTTCTCACATAGCAAGCCAACCACTAAAGTCATCAGTAAACCTCCTGCAATGTACATTTCCTAAAAAGTTAAGCCAAGCAGCATGGAACAATGATTTTGATCCATAATACATCCTTACAACCACATAGTTTACTATTTGCTAAAATGAAGGGACACATCTTTAACTTTAATATGTTATTACTTACATCTTCTACTGTATTTCACTTGTTTTGTTCCTGTTTGGTGTTGTTTTCATTTAATTAAGAGTTAATATCTTGTTCTTTTTCCTCTTCTTTCTTCATCACATCACACAAATTTCTGCATATTTCTTTGACATCTCCATATCTTCGTACTGTTCCTTATAGTCCAATAATATTCCACTATAGTTGTGTATCACAATTTGTCTACCCATGCTCCTTTCATTTGGCACGTAGTTTGTTTTTAACTTCAATTATTATAAATGATGCTGCTGTGAATATTTTTGTACAGATAGATCTTTTCTTGTTGCCAATAAACTCCTTGGGATATAAACCCAGTAGTGGGATTGCTGGACCAAAGGGTATGAGCAATTTTGACTTTTATTCCGTAATTCTAAATTTATTTCCATAACAGATTGTTCCTGTTTTCACACCACTCCTCCAACATCAAACATTTTCGTCTTTGCCATGTATCTTTTTTTTTAACCGGACACATTGTCTTGTGCTATTAACTTGTGTGATTCCTCTCCCTATCCTCCCACAGCAGGATTCTAAGCTTAAAATCAAGGAGCGGATATTATTAATCTCTTTATTCCTGACATCTAGTATCATGTTTTCTGTACATACATAATAACATCTTTGAATCTCTGTTTCTCACGTCTAAAAAGAGGAGTTTGGATTAGATAATATACAAATACACTATCAGTTCTAATTCCTATGATCCTTATCCTAATGTATATGCAACAACCCAATTTTTAACTGGACTGTTGCTTTTTTTTGTATTTATGTAGGTGTCTGATAACCCAGTGTCCATTGCACCCTCTCAGTACATCTGTGCCCCGGATAGCAAGCACACTTTCCTTGCAGCTCCTGCTCAGCTTCTACTTGAAAAATTCCTACAGCATCACAGCCATCGTTTCTTCCCCCTGTCACTAAAGAATTATGGCCACCCTGTGCTGTCTGTTGATTGTTACCTGAATTTGGGACCTCAGGTAATTTGTAAGCAAGCATTGAGTGCTCAACTCATAGGAGTTCAACAATAGGGGATTGAATTTCTTTGAATGATTTTTAGGATGTAGGTTTGGAAGGGGCACTTCAGTTTTCCACTTGAGGGAGGATAGACAAATAGAGCATTTATTAAGAGCTTACTATGTTCCAGAAACTGTGCTAAATACCCTCAAAAAGCTTACGTTATAATGGGGGAAGACAGCCTCTAAAGGGGAGCTACGAAGGGGTCTGGGCTACTCCTGTAGTGACGTGGCTAAAAAATGGCCTGGAAATATAGTAGAGGCCTAGATCCCCAACATGATAAGGCCAGAGATGGCCTGTCAGAGCCCAGAGTGGCTCTAGAGATGAAGTCCAAGGTTCTGGTAGGGATGAGGTGGAGACAGTGACTTGAGTGAAATTGGCATAGTGTAGAAAGGGCCAGGAATTGTGATGGAGGTCTTTTCATGAGAAAAATAAGGCCAAAGCTGACCTATTAGAATCCAGAGTGATTCAAAGGGTAGAGTCCATGGTTCCAGTGAAACTAAAGAGTATGGTTTTAGTCCATCTAATATCCTGAAAAATTAATGTGGTTTGAGAGTGAGCCTAACTTCAAATTTTGCTGTAATCTTGGGTAAGTCATTTAATCTTTGAGACTCAGTTTTCTCATCTGTAAAAAGGGAATAAGTATACTTGAACTATCTATTTCACAGGGTTGTGGGAGAATATATTTTTAAAACCTTTAAATGTTATTTAAAAAACCTTAAAATGTTATACAAATGTGAGATATTGTTATGATTGCACTGTGTTTTGTGTGTGTGCTCTGTGTGTGTGTGTGTGTGTGCACGCACTCACTAAATACATTGTTGAATATCCTAAGGGAAGCATCCTTTTTTTTTTTTGCCACCCTTTGCTTCTTCCTTTTTCAGGTTGCTGTTTGTTATGTGAGTTCCAGGCCTCATTCTTTAAACATCAGCTGCTCAGATCTGCTGTTTAGTGGGCTCCTGTTATACCTTTGTGACTCCTTTGTGGTTGCTAGCTTTTTGAAAAAGTTTCATTTTCTGAAAGGTAAGTTACCTGAATGGTTGCACAAGCAGAGATGCAAAAAAGGACTTTAGAGGTTAATTCCTTCAGTTCATCATTAAATGTCTGCTTTGCTAAGTACTGGTGAAGTTACAAATATAAATCAACCATGGCCTCTTTTTGCAATATTCTGACAGTCTACAAGTGGGGATCTATCTATTTATGTAGCAATAATAGTGATATAGTAAATTATAATTGTAGGTAGCAGAGGTGATTGATGGAGTCTCTGATCAATTTAAATCTCCTAATGCACTTTAAAAGATTATGCCACATGAACCTTTGCTGGAAGGAGTGCCTCCCAATACAGTGGACATGTGTCCTAGCCCTGACTGAGGGGAAGTTCTAGAAACTCCTTTGATTAGTCCCCAGTAACTGGGGCTGCATCCAAGATGATTGATGACTGAGCATTAGGGGGAACAGACCCTTACTCACCAATTATGTTGAACGCATGATTACTCCCCAGTATTACACATACAGTAACTGTAATGCAGAGTGGAAGGTGGTCAGGGCACAATACACATCCAGAGTGCTTTGTGAGGTTTGACGAAGAAAAGGTATTCTTTGGGGGATTCAGGAAAGGTTTCCTAGAGGAGATAGCAATTAAGTAGGGTTTTGAAGAGATAAAGCATAGAGAAGAAGGGGAGAAGTTAGGAGGAGGAACAGAAACCAAGGGAAGGAGGAATATTAAAGAAGGAAGGGTCACCGTATCCTCCAGAGAAGAAAATTCGAGTCAACAAGTTAACAAGCATTTTTTAAGTACCTGTGTACCCAGCACTATACTAAATACTGGGGATAAAAAGATAAGCAGAAAGAAATCAATTCCTGCCCTCAAAAGAGCTTATATTCTAATGGCAGGAGAGAACACATAAAAGGAGCTAAAAAATTAAGGGAGCAGGGAGTATGGGTGGAGCCTGGAGAATGAAGGATGACTGGTCGGTGCCACTTCTCATAGTGCAGGTTCCAGTGGGAGAAGGGAGCCACGGGGGTGAAGGGAGAAGGTAGCTGAAGAATGAGGTAATAAGGACGTCAGTGGTGGTTTTTGAGAGGATAGTTTCTGGAGAGTGGTGAGGACAGAAGTCAGATTGAAATGGGGAAAGGGCTGTAGAGAAATAAGTAGTTTGTAAGGAAGTGGAGACATTGTATACAGACTTTTTCTAGAAGTTCTGTGGAAAAAGAGAGTTGGGACAGTAGCAGTCAAGGAAAGGGTTCTTTAGGTTTAAGGGTCAGGATCTATGAATTCAATGGCAAAGAGAACTCCTAAGTGAATTATTTGGACTTCTAGGAGATTAAATAGCTTGCCTATGGTTACACCACTATTTTATGTCAGAGGCAAGACTTGAACCCAGGTCTTCTTAAGTTTGAGACCAGTTCTCGATCCATTATGCTTCTTTTTTTCAAGATTGAGGAGACCTTAGAATAGTGGGTCATAGGATATAGAAGTGGAAGCAGTCTTAGGTCATGGGAAGGAGCCAGCGGCAAGTATTAAAAGTGTTAAGTGCAGGGGCACTTAGGAGCGGAGACAGGTGATGAAGCAAGGACTTGGAAAAGATGGCACATGTGAAGGGCACATATGGAGAAGTTAACTTGGCACTGAGTAGGCCCTGCTTCAGAGACATGGAGGAAGAGAAGGAAGGCAGGTTGAGACATTGAGGTAAAGAGACAGGAAGGCCCTTTGCTGGATGTTGGACTGGACACAAAGATGAATATGACAATCCCTGATTTCAAGGCCTGTGTAGTCTAGTTGGGGAGATAGGACATGTCTATAACAAGATCATTAACTAAATATTAAGGATTTTATATAATATCTTATTTGCTTGTCTTATTTTCAAATTTATAATAATTTTTTTTTAAGTTTGGCAATTGGGGGTAAGTGACTTGCCCAGGGTCACATAGCTAGTAAGTGTCAAGTATTTGGTCTGAGGCCGAATTTGAACTCAAGTCGTCCTGACTTCAAGGCCGTTGCTCTATCCACTGTGCCACCTAGCTGCCCCCTATAATAACAATTTTAAAGGAGTTAATAAACCAGCCTATAAGCCAGCATATGCCAAGTGCTAAAAGATTAGTACAGACAGTGAAAGCTACATGACAGCAGAAAGAATGACTCAGTATTGGCTGGAGTAATTAGAGAGGGCCTCAAAGAGGCGGTGATCTGGGACTGAGCCTTGAAGAATGGGTAGAAGTAGAAGGATACATAATGATAAATGTGCATAGGTGTATATGTATGAGCATGTGTGTATGTGCAGGTACATGTATCTATCAACACATCTTGGTTGCCATGTGTTGCATGTGTATGTATCCACATACATATATACGCACATATATATACACATATATATTTTACTTTGCTGTCTCTCTCTCTCTCTCTCTCTCTCTCTCTCTCTTCTCTCTCTCTATTTGTGTACAGAGAGTGAGCAGGATAGTGTAGAGACCCAAGAAGAACTGAGTTCAAGTCCTGCCTTTGATATACATAGATTTTCTAGCCTTGGGCAAGTTACTTCATGTCTTAGAGTTCTAAGATTACATATTTCAGAGAAGCTTCCAACCTGCATTGGTAGGAGTATCCTATCATGGGAGTTCTTTATACTAATGAACTCACAGATCCAGTCCATATCCCTCTATCTGTCCTATGGCTATATATGATCAGGTGGGCTGGGGAATTATGTAGTCTTGTCCATGTTGTTTCCTCTTTTCTTTCTCTTCCTAGTTCCTTTTCTACCTCTTCTTTTCTGCTTCCATGTTATCTCCTGTATCTGATTATTAGCACTTCTTCTATTACCATAAGTTTTCAAAGGATTTAAAAATGTTATCATATGGGCTTGGACTTTTGATCCTTTCCATCTAGGCTGAATGAATCATTTTCAGTGGTTGAAAACACACAGGTCAGGCCATAGTTGTCATTTTTACACATTCTTGTTTCTCAAGGTATAAGAAAAAGAATGGTGAAGTTGGAGTCAGGAGACCTGGGTTTTTCAAATCCTGTTTCTGAGCCTTACTAGCCATATGACTTGATCAAGTAACTTAAACTCTCTGAAATTGTTTTCTTATTTGTAAAATAATGTCAGTAATACTTGTACTATATACCTCCATGAAATTTTAAGGAAACTTTTTTTAATAAATCACATGTAACCTCCTGTTGCAACAATACAATAGGATTATTTTAAAATCTAAACTCTCTACTGCTTTAATGAGTTTATTTTAGAAAAAAAATGTTAGAAGTACAATCATAATTACTCAACTCTTGTTGTGGAAAATTTCCAACATTTAGACAGAAGCATGGTTTTCTGTATTAATTTACATTTATATCTACCTCTGTTAGTCCCTGACATCTTTGTGGTTGAAGCAAAATGTAGGTTACTAGAAACTTCTGAGTAATAAAGCAGCAGATTATTTTATGGTATGTGTTGATAAATAGGCAAGGTGGGGTATGGTAAGGGGGTGGGAGGAAGTAGGAAGAGGAGTTGGAGAAAAAGTAGACTTCATGTTTTTTTTTTTAATTTCCCCTCAGTTCTTGAGAAGGTGTTTCCAAATGGTAGGCTGAGTCCCAGATTTCTGTTCTGAAATGCCTGTAGAGCTGATTACCCTCCTTGTTATTTCACTTCTCTGGCAAAGCTCAGTCTTATCTTTTCTTTCTTCTTTCACTGGCTACCCCTGGGCTGCTGGTTCTTTCCAGCTCAGCTCTGGATGTCCCCTTTCCTTCCTCTGTGCAGTCCAACCCTCAGAATCTCTCTGGTTCTGAGACAAATATTCTGTTTTTTTAACCTTTATATTGATTTTATTTCTAGTTTATGAAACAAATCAAATATTTCCATAACAAAATAGAATAAAACAAGATGATTATACACACAACTGTAAATCCATTATGGACAGCTTACTATTCCTTTTTAAATATATAATAAAGTTATCACGTAAATTTTTTTCTCCCCTTCCCCCCCACCCTAGAGATGGTTACCATTAGATACAAGTATGTATGTATGTATACATGAAATTCTATATGTCTATTTATCAGTCCTTTCTCTGGATTCAGATAGTATCTTCCTTCACATGTCCTTTGAAATTAATTTGGGTATTTATAATAGTCAAAATGACTTAGTTGCTCAAAGTTGTTCTTAAAACAATATTGCTGTTGCCATATACAATGTTCTCTTGGTTCTGCTCATTTTGCTCTTTATTATTTTGTGCAACTCCATCCATGATTTTCTAAAATCATCAAGCTCATCATTTCTTATAGCACAGTAGTATTCTATCATGATTATACACCACCACTTGTTCAGCCATTCCCCAACTGATGGGCATCCCCACAATTTCTAGTTCTTTGTCTTTACAGAGAGAGCTGCTGTAAATATTTTAGAACTGATCAATGATCAAAGGATATGAACTGATAGTTTTCTGATGAAGAAATCAAAACAATTTATTTTATAGTCATGTGAAAAAATGCTCTAAATCACTATTGATTAGAGAAAAGGAAATTAAACAACCTTGAGATATCATTTTACACCTATCAAAGAAGGTAAAATGAAGGGGAAAGCCACAAATGTTGGAGGGGATGTGGAAAATGAGTTCCTTAATTCATTGTTGGTGGAACTATGAACTGATTCAACCATTTTGGAGAACAATCTGAAATTGTACCCAAAGTACAAAATTGTACCCAAAGTACAATTAGCTCTACTCTTTGACCTGACAACACTAGGTTTATTTCCAAAGATGATTAGGGGAAAAAGAAAAGAACCTATATGTTCTAAAATATTTATAGCAGCTCTCTTTGTGGTGAAAGATGCTTCTTTTTACACAAGTTTCTCAGGGTATGACCAAAGTCCCTCATCCTATGTCTTTAATTGATTTGAGGAAAGCAGAGGCCTTGTTCATACCTAGTTCCAATTGACTTAATCATAAAATGTTCTTAACCTAACAGCTTACAATCTAATGAATGAAGGCAATATCCAAAAGGCAGCTGAAAATAGGAGTGGTGGACGTGATGGAGATCAGTCCATAGGAGTGTAGCTCAATAGGAAATGCAAAAATGTCTGTCTGGGAAGCCCCCTTTAAATAGATGCTTTGGAAATAGTTACTTGTTCCTTTCTCCAGCCCACCAATAAGAGGGGCAAAGTGTGCTGATTAGATATTATTACCGAGGCTGAAACAATCTTGCAGGATAATGAGTTTCCTGAGGGATAGGGAGTCTCTTCAAAACAGAAACAGCGTGCAAATGTGAAGCTGTTTTTATTGTTGTTGTTATTCATTTTTTTTCTTATTTGTGTAGGCGCCACCTTATGCGTCATCTGTCAGGATCGTAACTCGCTCCGTCAGACTGTTGTACGCCTGGAGCTGGAAGATGAGTGGCAGTTCAGGCTTCGGGATGAGTTCCAGACAGCCAATGCCAAAGAAGACAGGCCGCTTTTCTTCCTGACTGGGCGGCACATTTGAAAGAAACAACAGCCCCATTTTCTGAAAGAGCAGACACTTCAGAAAGCTCTCCTGCCAAGGTGATTGATAGCACATCAGAGCTGAAAAAGGATCTTAGAGCTCATCAAGTCCACTCCACCTATTTTACAGGCGGTAGGACTAGCAACCTAGAGGAGTTCAGTGATTTGTCCTTGATCATACAGTGAGTTACTGACTGAGCTGAAAACCCAGGTCTTCAGAATGCTTACTTCATGGGGAAACTTTCACCATCAATAGTGCCATACCCATAGACCTGCATAGAGAGCTTCAGAGCTGGAAGGGATCTTTGGAATCCAGGTAAACTGAGACCCAGAGAGTAGAAGTTTAGAGAAGAGCCAGGGATATATGACCCAGGTCTCGATTCTCATTCCCTTGTGCCCTTTCCACCACAACATATTGCTGAGACTTCTGGGACATTTTGAAACCATTTCTTTAAGAACAGAGTTTTGACAATTCACCATGTTATCTATATGCTTCAATGACAGAAACTTGTGGTCACTTTTGGGTGACATTGTACATTATTGGATACTTGTTCCTGAAGTGGAAATATCTTCACGTTTGTAAGAAGGACCAATTACGAAGTATTCTTTTTCTGCCCATGTTACCATACAGGAAATATTTAGAAACAGTGTTGAAAATCACAAATCCCAGAGATATAGGATACATCTAAAAAGAGGTCATTGGAATAAAAATTACACAATCCTAGAATTTTGGTGGTATTTAGATCAATCGATTGATTGATCAAGAAGCATCTCTTAAGGGTGTTCTGAGTGCCAGGCACTGTGCTAAGCACCAAAGATAGAAGGAAAGACAAAAACATGTTCTCTGCCTTCAAGGAACTCAAATTCTAAAGAGAGAGACAATATGCAAACAACTATGTATACATTGGATATATACAGTACAAATGGGAGATAATCTCAGAGAGGAAGGCTCTGGCAGCGGGGAAAGGGGAGGAAAAAGGATAATATTAGATTGGATAAGTTTTTCATACTTTAGAAACCGGAACAAGGCACCAAATTAGCCACTTAATGAATGCATTCAAGCACATGATTTAATTTCTTTTAAAAATGTTTTATTCATGGCTTTTCCTTCTTTATGCTAATCATGTCCCAATATGCCTTGCTCCCCCCCACATTGAATTCTTCTTTTTAACAAAGGAAAACAATTATGTAAAACCAATGGACAAAGTCAGATAGTAAATAATACCATTTTGTCCCTGTGGTCCCCCACCTCTCTGCTAAAAGGAGAGAAGTGTTTCATCGTCTGTCATGTGGTTTAATTTCCTAACAAAGTTATGTACTCTGGTTGGTGTTAGATTTTCTGCATGAGAACAATATAGAGGACTATCTCTTGCCAAGAGTGAAAATGAAAGGACATGTCCTTAAATGATGTTAAATAAAATGTGTTCTACAGAGGAAATTATGTGGTGGCTCTCTGAGGGTTCTTTACAAACGAGAATTGATTTACAGAGAAATGAGAATGGAATTATTCAGTTCACTCAAAAAACAACAACACAGAAATGATGGATTAGCACAGGACCTGTGGCCATTTGTTTACTAAAAGCTTATTTTGGAACTTTTCATTAAGGCTTGGCTTTACTGGCAGGTAAAGTGTACCACTTGAAGTAGTTGCATAAATTAAGGACTTCCAGGAACCTAAGTACAGTGTGAGTGGGAGCAAAAGGGTACAAGGAATAACCAGATTCCAGAAGGGACTGACATTTGAGGCAGCATCTGGGCCAAAGGGCATTTTTCCAAACATCCTCTTTTAGATGGCATTGAAACGTGCTAATGGGCAGCAGTCACTTTTGCCTGGCTTGGACTTGAAGACATCGTATGAGAAATAGTGGAACCAAGAAGAAATAGCTTTGAAAGACAGTGCCGAAGATTGTATATTGATTTTTCTTTTTCTCCTTAAGGAAAACAAAACAAAACAAAACTCAAAACTTGTGAGTATGGCAGATTTGGGTTGATGTTTACAAAATTATTAGTAAATGGTAACTTTGTATATTTCATTATTCCTGTTTTGGAATGAAACTTTACTTTCTGTAGTTTTATTTGTCTTTTGTAAATAGTATCTCCTGTGCAGCTTTCCCTTACTTTGTATTAGTTAATTTAAACTTTTAAAAGGTCTTAATATTCAAGTTGGTTCCAGCCTTCATAAATAAAACTTGCAGTGCACTTATTGGTTTCTGATTATTTGCACAGTTATGAAATTCTGTGCATCCTGAATTATTATTGATGTAAAAATATTCATTACTGACCTTTTGTTGCAAATGGGGAAGTTTTTCATCAGGATTTTGGTTACTTGTGACATCCAACTTAAAAATATGCAGGGGCATTTTTATCTAGTGAACTAGCTATAACCAAAGTATGAGATTCTTAGTCTGGGATTCAGAACCCATTTTCTGGTGTTCTAGGCCCATTGTCAATCTCTTCCTGCCCTATTTCTTTTCTTTTTTAAAAAAAATTTATTTTCTTATGTTTTCCCTTTATATGAGTCCAGAGGAGGCAGGTGTGATATGGTGAAATAGAAATAAATTTGGAGTCAAGACTTATCTATATCTTTATCAGAATAATTATATCTGATAGGGTCTATGCAACACTTTTCTCCTCTAGTCATCTATCTTTTTTGTAGAGAGGAGGAAGTTTACGTGTGGTCAGGAACTATGAATTTGGCTTCTTTGTATTTGTCCTTTTTCCATTTATAATACTGTAGCCATTGTATGCATTGCTCTCATGGTTCTGCTTACTCTGTTCCACACACAGGGCTCATTATGTTTCCATGCCAGAGTTTTATTCCCGGGAAGTCTCTAAAATCCTAGGTTTAGCTTTTTCATGGTTGCCCCAAATGTGAATTCCCAACTGCTGCATTGTCTTGTAGAGGTGGCTAGGTGGCACTGTACATGGAGTTCTGGGTTTGTATTTAGGAGCAAATGCAGCCATAGGCACTTTACTAGCTGTAGGACCCAGGGGCACTTACCTCTCTGGGCTCCACTTTCCTTATTTGTAAAATGAGGGTGTTGGAATCAATGGCTTTTAAGGTCCCTTATGGCTTTAAATCTGTATAACAGACGATATAAATATTGGGTAGAAGACGTTTTATTTTACCTACCCCTGAAAATTTATAAGATGTGAAGAAATGTTCATTCATGCTATTATATACCATGCAGCATCTTTTGGATTATATTTTTATTTGTTTTGTTAAATATTTCTCAATTACATTAAATATTTTTTTAACATTCATTTAAGAATTTTTTTGAGTTCCAAATTCTCTCCCACTCTCCTACCCTTATTCCACCCATTGAGAATGCAATGATGTCAATTATACATGTAAAGTCATACAAAACATATTTCCATATTAGCCATGTTGCCAAAAAACCCAAAATGCAAGAAAAATAAAGTGAAAATTAGTACTCGGAGTTCATCGGTTTTCTCTCTGGAAGTGGATAGCATTTTTCATTATGAATCTTTTAGAATTGTCTTGGATCACTGTCTCAATCAATGCTCAGTCTTTCACAATTGATCATCATTATAATATTGTTACTGTGTACAATGTTCTAGTTCTGCTCACTTCACATTGCACCAATTCGCAAAGGTCTTTCCAGGTTTTTCTGAAAGCATCCTGCTCATTGTTTATTATAGCACAATAGTATTCCATCACAGTTATATACTCTACACTGCCACTTTTTTGGCTATTCCCCAATTGATGGGCATCTTCTTGATTTTCAGTTCTTTGCTACCACACAAAGAGCTGCTATACATATTTTTGTACAAATAAGTCCTTTTCCCTTTTCTTTGATCTCTTTGGTTTTGTATATTTTTTATAGATATAAATGGAGATTTATTAATGACATTATATGAATAATGAGTGGGTCAAAGAACAAATCATAGAAACAACCAACAACTATGCAAAAGGGAATGACAATAATGACAATGGTGAGACAGCACATCAGAATTTCTGATATGTAGCTAAAACAGTCCTTAGAGGAAAACTTATATTCCTGAGAACATACATGAACAGAATATATATATATATATATATATATATATATATATATATATATATATATATATATATATATATATATATATATATATGATTAGTGAATTGTATAAGCATTTAAAATGAGAAAATCAACAAAGGGACAAAAACCTCAAATAAGCTAAAAATAGGAAAAATTGAAAATTAAAGTAGAAATAAATTAAAAACCAAAAAAATAGAGCTGAAGAACAAAATGAAAATCTAATTCTTTGAAAAAAAACTAACAAAATTGACAAACTTGTAGATAACTTGATTTAAAAAGAGGCAGAAAATTAAATTATAGAGTAAAAAATGAATTAGGTGAAACCATAAAAAAAGAAATAAAAGGAATTATCAGAATCTGCTATACCAATATATGCCAACAAAATAGAATTTAAAGGAAACAGAAGATTTTTTTTAGTAAATAATAGAAAATATTTAAATTAACAGAACACCAAATAGAGATCTTAGACAATCCAATTTTAGAAAATGAAATTTAACCAACTCTAAAGGAACTACCAAAGCAGGAAGTGGGGAGGAGTGATCCTGGGGCAGCTGGTTTTATAGGAGAATTCTATCAAAACTTTAAAGAAAAATTAATGCCTATACTACAAACTTATTCTTACAAATTGAGAAAGAAAACACTCTACCAAACTACTAGAGACAAATGTAATTCCAATACCTACACCAAAGAAGGATAAAACAATAATAGGACAATATTATTGATGAATATTAATTGCAAAATTTTAAATAAAATCATGCTGCCTTGGAAACATTGCAATATATCTTTTTAAAATTTCATTGTAAAAAAAAATTCATTGTGATTGAGTTGGATTTATACCATGGGTGGAAGAATGATTTTATATTGGGAAAATAACATAATCACATTAAAAACAAAAATATACACAATTTTGATCATTTCATATATTGTTCTGCTTTAGCTTACTTATCTTTGATCTCTTTGGGAAACAGACCTAGTAGTGCTATTGCTGGGTCAAAAGGTGCACACAATTTATAGCTCGTTGGGCATAGTTTCAAATTTGAGCCAATATTCTTAAACTGTCTTCTGTGTTCTTGATGGGAGGAGGACCAAAAGTCTAATGAAGGGGTGGGGAGCCTGCGGCCTCAAGGCCACATGTGGCCCTCTAGGTCCTCAAATGAGGCCTTTTGACTGAGTCCAAGTTTTAGAGAACAAAGGAATTTTCCAATCCCTTCCTTTGTGTCTCCCTAGAAAGTTCCCTCTGCTAATTGCCAACTCATCTTTAAGCTACTCCTGACCTCCTATGTCCCAATGGCTTAGGATATGGTTTTTCAGCTATCTTGTCCCAATGCATCTCAATTTTTGGGACTTGTCTGTTGCTAATTTGCTCAGGCCTGAGCAATAATTAGTAGCAGCAGATTATTGTAAACACTAGTCAGAATCAGAAAAAAAAAAGTGAAAGAACACTTTAAAAAATCTCCATTTTATACCAAAAGTGAAACTGAACTATTTGAGATATACTGGTTGGACAGAGGCTCTCAGAGCTGAAACAGCTTGTTCATTTTGGGGATTCAAAATGCTAGCTCAGAAAATCATTAAAGATCATTACCTGACACCATCTACCATCTTGGTGATACCAATTTTCTTTTCATGGCAGAGGTCACAAAATTAGCAAATGAAAATTTTATTGCAAGGTAGAAGGAAACAAAATAGAACTTCAAAGGAGTTCTTGGAAAATAACATTCTTCCACAAAAAACCCCCTCCCAAGTATCTGTAGAAAGTCTTAGTAATTTACAGCCACCCAATGTCCAGCAGGCATTGCCTCATGTAATTAATTCCTGGATCAGCTCAGCGGCCTCTCCTGTGGTGCTTCCTACAAATCTGTATTTGTTAACAGCGGTCAGTGTTGGGCATATCACCCTACTGATGCTTCTCTAACAATAGTTCCAGGCAGGAGCCCCCATGATGTTTCTCACCTGGTGGGTGGCACAGATCTTCTTGCATTAAAATTCTGGTGATGCATTTATTATGATTCTTTCCTTAAGACTATATACTTTCATGCATCATTATTTCTGTCCAGCTTGGTCAGGAAACAAAATTTTATGATGTTTCATCTTCAAGGGAGTCCTGGCTACTAATTAAGGTTCAGATAACATTGTTCCTTCTCTATATTATCATGCTTACTGCCTATAGGAAAGAGAAAAGATACTGGAATTTGGTGATTATAAGTTCCAATATTTTTTCTCTTATATTCTTTTACCAGAGATGTTCCTTGCATAAGTGAACACTCCTTCCTGGGTCAGGAACTGGCAGAGCATCCTAGTTTCTCTTAGGTTATTCCCCAACTTCCAGAGATTCATTCTGGGGCAATTGCATTGTTGTAAATTGTTTCAGTTGTGTCTGACTCTTCGTGACCTCATTTAGAGTTTTCTTGGCAAAGATATTGGAGTGGTTTGTCCTTTCCTTCTCCAGCTTATTTTACAGATGAGGAAACTGAGGCAAACAGGGTTAAGTGACTTGCTCAGGATCACACAGCTAGTATGTATCTGAGGTCAAATTTGAACTTGGATCTTCCTGACTCCAGTCCCTATTCCTGTGTGTGTGACCCTGGGCAAGTCACTTAACCCTTTTTGCCTCAGTTTCCTCATCTATGAAATGAGCTGGAGAAGGAAATGGCAAATCACTCCAGTATCTTTGTCAAGAAAATACAAAAAGGGTCATGAAGAATGAGACATAACTGGAATGACCGAACAACAACAACAACCACCATGATTTAATATCTTGGGATAAAAGGCAGCTGATCAGAGTGGATTGCAACCAGCAAGGACCAGGGAGAGTATACTTTCCTATTAGCTTGCTAGTCTGATCAAAGGATTTTTAAATTGAAAATGGAGTATGTGTGTGTCTATGTGTGTATGTGGTGATGTAGAGATATAACTGTTAAGCTAGACATAATTTAGTAAGTTTATGAATAAACAAGTGCTTATTAAGCACTTATTATGTGTCAGGCACTATTTTAAACATGGGCAATATAAATATAAGCAAGTCTTCAAGGATTTCTGATACCATTTTAATAAGGAAAGACAACACATAAAAGAAAGTTCAATTGCAGGACAGATAGAAAGAGCTGAAAGTAATACGGGTGCAGTGGTGGGGTGCATGAAATGGCCCAGGGATCCTTAGATTACAGTACTAGGTCAGATGACAATGCTGGGAGACTGAAGGGTTACAGAGGTAGGGAGGATGGTAAGGCCTGGTGTCCTCAACCTCACTGGAAGTGACAGAGTTGCTGACTCTCCCATCATCCAACCAGCCAGGCTAAGAGAGAAAGGCAAAAGGGGAGGATGGCCCCAGTGGTAGCAAGTATTCCTGCCTCTCAGACACACTGATTTGGATTTTGGGATACCTGGGGAAAGGAGAGAGAATGACATCCCATTAGTAGTGGAGTTCGTGACATAGAAGAATAGAGTGGAGGTATCCAGGAGAAAATAACTGGGAAGAGGAAGGAAAGCAATTTATATGGCTTAGTCACCTATGAGAAAAGTATGCACTTTTATTGTAGGTTATGACTTGCTCAAGGTCATGTAGTAGTTTGTAGACTCCTGGCATGAGCACTAAGGCCTGACTCCTCAAAGATCAAAGGTGTCCTTCCATGTAGCATTTGTAGAAAAGTATGGTCTGCAGCAGGAATAGCCAGAGGAACAGATGGGGCAGAGAGCTGGCTTCTGGCTAGATGCCCTGGAGGAAGAGAAAGATAATTCTTACTGGAATTCACCTTGTATTCTTCCTGATATTTCAGGTTGAGCCAAGCCATGGTCAGCAAAAGAGTTGAAGAATTCAACAACAATTGCACTCCCTTTGCTAGTTTCTTTATAGAAGTTCAGAGATCATTATAGCTGGAAGTGATTAAAGAGATCATTTAGTTCCAAAATACTCATTATATACACTGCTCCTCAGTTCTCCCTGGTGTTTGGAGGCAAAATAGATACTTTTTCTCATTCAGAGCGGTATTTTTAAAAATCTGGATTTGCATTTTTATTGGTATAAGGAACTCCTGATAAATAACTTCTACCAATGCAGGTTGGCACTTTGCAGAAATTTATAGTCTTGGAGTGTTGCCAGGTACATTAAGAAATTGAGGCTTGGTCACACAGATGGCATGAAGGCTGTTCCCCAAAGTTTTGATGTGGTTTGTTAACTATTAAAGTTTACAAACCTCACTAAGACTTTAGGGACACCCTATTCATCAGAGGCAGAATTTGACCCCCTTTCTGACCCCAATTCTTTCTCCACTCCTTCCATGCTTTATGTTGCACCATATTATACGATGTTAACTAGTCTTATTTGGTGGAAGTGGGCAGGGTGGTACTTCCCTCTAAGGGTTTAGAATCAAGGGGCTCCTACGCTGTTATTAAAAGATATCAGTCAATTCTTACACCCTCTCTAGAACCTATTGTTTTGATACGTTAGTGAGGGTTTGTGTGTGTGAATTTGAGAAATGATTCATTTGGACCCCCACTCTATTCCAATCAGTATTAATCAGTTTGCTATGATTCTACAGGGGTAATGATTACAAGTTCTGTACGTGAGGCCCCAGAGTTGTAAACTGCAGATTGTAAGTTCACTTGCTTAATCATAGGAAGCTAATTAGAGGCCTCCACTCTTTTCCTTGTCATAGTGACCAAGCCCAGGATGGTGGAAGTAACTCATTTATGTGGAAAGTTGCCCAACTTATTTTTGTACCTCTGGACCATCCTCTCTTCCCCAAGATATGACCACTTGGTCACTGGAGATGACTCTTGCCTTGCCCATCTTAATTTCTGGCCCTCGAAGCAAGGTCTATCAACCAATGAGATTCTGTATTTTGTGTAGCCCCTCTAGAGTGTTCAGTATCAAACCTACTGGTAGAAGGGAGCATCTCAAATAATGAGGAAGATCTGAGGTCTACTTCATTGGAAGGGATTGTGGGCCCTTTAATGAAGTGCCATTGGCTCAGAGCTCCGCCTCAGTGGGTTTTCTTGCCGATTGGGCGATCATGATCCTCACAGCACACATACGTGTATATGCACATGCGCACATGCTTTGGATGGGAGGAGGATACATTATTAATATACCCATTTCATAAAGTTGTAAAGTAACAAAATGTTGATAAGTAATTATGATACTAAGAGGCTGTTAACATATTTGAGAAATTATATAATTTGTAACTTTTCACTGAGTCTACCCCACCATGAGAAGATCAATTAGAAATAAAGCCCAATGTCTCCAGGAGTCCTTTTTGGTGAAAACTAAATTCCATTATAAAACACAGGAATAAGATGTACCTTAGCACCTAACTAATCCAACCTCTTGCTCAATTTTTAAATATTTTCTATGATCTCCCAGAGAAGACATTGTCTACCGTTTAACTGAACACCTCTAGTGATGGGAAGCTCATTGCCTCAATTGGAAGTAGATTCCATTTTGGATTGCTTTGGTTGTTAGGAAATTCTTCTATACATTTGAATCATATTTGACTCCCTGTAACTTTCATTCATTAATCTTGGTTCTGCTCTCTGAGGCCAAGAAGAGCAAGTTTAGTCCCCTTTCCATATGATGATAATAGGTACCATAATAGCCATTTCTGTACAGTACTTTAACGTAAAGCACCTTACAAATGCCATATAATTTTATTATCACAACCACCCTGGGAAGTAGGTGCTATTATTATCATCTCCATTTTAGGGATGAGGAAACTGACTTGCCCAGTCATACAGCTAGTTAAGTATTTCAGGCAGGATTTGAATTCAGGTCTTCCAGATTCTAAGTTCTTCTTCTAGCCACTGCACCACTAAGCTGTATATATTTGTTGCATTAGTTTTCCAATTAGTCTCCCTACCTCCAGACTCTCACCTCTCCAATCTATCTTCCATATAGCTGCCAAATTGTTATTCTTAAAGCACAGGTCTAACTCTTCCACTCCCATACTCAAAAAGTTCCATTGACTTCTTGCCTTTAGGATCAAATGCAAACTCCTCTTTCTCAGGCCTTTTCTCTTTCCTCTCTATACTATTTCCTTTGATGATTTCATTAGCTCCCATAGGTTCAATTATCATCAAATTATGATAGTTCTCAAATCTACTTATCCAGCCCTAACCACTCTACTGGCTCGCAGTCTCCCGTCTTTAGTTTCTTATTGGATATCTCAATGTCCCATAGACATCTTAAACTGAACAAAACTTAGTTTATTATCTTTCTCTCCAAACTCTACCCTCTTCCTAACTTCCTTATAACCCATGAGGGCACCATCACCCTCCCAGTCACCCAGGCTGGCAACCCGGGTGTCATCCTTGGCTCTTCATTATCTCTCCTTCTCACTGCTCCACCCGCCTTGCTGTTTCTCAAACAACACTCCAACTCCTACTTTGGACATTTTCTTTGGCTGTCCCCCATTCATGGAATGCTCTCTCTTCTCATCTCTGCTGCGCAGCTTGCTTCAAGTGCCAGTTAAAATCTTACCTTTTATAGGAAGCCTTTTACTTTACCCCTTACTTCTAATACCTTCCTCTCTGAAATCACAATTTATCCAGTCTATAGTTTGTATATGATTGTGTGAATGTAGTATGACAGCAGGGACTGTTTTTGCCTTTCTCTATATCCCTGGCATTTAGCACAATATGTAGCACATAGAGATGTTTGATAAATCTTCATCAACTGACTATTTTTAAAGCCCTTCACAATTTTGCTCCTGCCCACCTTTCCAGACGTTTTGTATATTACCCTCCTTCCTGCATTCTTTGTTCCTGCCCAACTAAACTACTTTCCTGTAAACCACATTTCATCTTCTACCTTCATGCCTTCACAAAAGCTGTCTTCTCTGTCTGGAATGCACTTTCTCCTCACCACCACCTTAGAGCATCACTGGCTTTCTATACACAACTCAAGGGCCACCTTTTATGGGAAGCCAATCTGAACCTTCCAAGTTAATAGTGCCACCCCCTAATTTCTTTGCATTGATTTTGTGTTTACTTTTATGAGTACCTCCTGATGCCTCCAATAAGCTCCTCCAAGACAGGGATCCTTTTTTTCCCCTTTGTATTCTTAGTGCCTAGGACAGTGCTGGCTAATAGTAGATACTTAATAAATGTTAGTTGAATTGCACAGTCTTCAGTCCCTTTATAATTCTGGTTATTTTCCTCTGGTTATGTCCACTTTAGCAGAACTGAGCACTGTATTCTAGATATGGCCTTACCAGTATAGAAGACAGAGGAACTATTACCACTCTTGTTCTGGACACCTTCTCTTCTCTTCATTTGGCCCAAGATGAAATAAGCTTTTATTGGAGGCCAAATCACATGGCTTAATCAATAATGAATTTTCACTCTGGCATGTCTCACCTGATTTTCTATTGACCCATATCTCCTACCTAGTCATGTTTCTTCACTTTTTTTACTTAAATAGATTTCTCAGTTCAGGGATCTCAATTCTTAGGGTTCTTTAGTCATTTAGGTAGTTTGTGAAGGACCAAGGGCTTCAGTAAATGGATCCTGCATGCTTTAAGTATTCAGTGTTGGCTGTTGATAGTGGTAATAAATATATGACATTTTAAGCTTAAGGGTAATATAATGGAAACTTGAATTATATTATATATATATATATATATATATATATATATTTATTACTTTTTGTGAAGATGTTTCTTTTTTTCAATCTTGGAGAAAGAGACAATGCCAGAAAAAGGGAAAATAATTTAGAACTGGTTAACAATAACAATGTGGCCAACAGGTTGGTTGTCATATTAAAATGTAAGCAAAGTTTTGTCTTAGAGCTTTTATAAAAAAAATCTGGATTTGTTATTAAAAATAAGATTGTTGATAACTTGTTTTATAATCATTTTCTGATGTGTCACCCTCCTTTGTGCCAAAGAAAAAAACTTAAGCAAAAACAGTTAATACAATGACTGCCTGACAGGATATGTACCTTTCTGCCCTTGTAGACTCCCTCCTCTTTGTAGAGAGGAGGGAGGTCTTTTCCTGGACCAGGACTGGTTGTCATAGTTACTCAGAGTTTGGCTTCCTTGTAGTGTTCTTTTCATTTATGTTACTGAAGATATTGTATATATTGTCCTCCTGCTTGAGTTTACTAGTGCTCCCATGTTTCCCTGAATTCCTCATATTTTTCATTTCTTATTGCACAGTGGTATTCCATTACATTTTATATTAGTTATTTAAAAATTTTAAAATCTATTCCCTCATCAGGGAGTCTTAAAAATACTGACTTGAAACAATTGGCTGCTTCCCTGTTTCTAGGAGAGATATGCAAAATCCCTAGTGCCCACAAGATGGTGGTAAAACCATACCATTTTCCATTTAGAGTTTCCCCGCAACCCTCCTCAATCATAGGATTTAGGAGCTTGAAGAGGTCATCAAAGTCCACGCTTCTCATTTTACAGATAGAACTTTCAGCCCCAGTAAAACTGTAACTTACCCCAGTTCATTGAACTAATAAATAAGTGGAAGACTCCAAATGCAGCTCTGATCCCATCGTACATATGTGGCCTACTGTAGAGAGAACAATTAAAGTTTCTGAATTGGCTTGTCTCTACCAGAGGGAAACAAAGGAAGAGATGTGTTATGGTGGAAGAACTCGATGGAGTCTGGAGACCTATGTGTGGATGCTGCCTTTGACACTAGCTGTATGACCTTAAAAAAGTCACTTTAACTTTTGAGTCTCAGTTTCTTCCTTTGTAAAATGAGTAT